GGGGAGACTATAGAGGGGAGGAGGGCAGCAGTGCAGCTGATGGCTGCTGCTGCTGTGAGGAAGATGAGGAATGGCAGCAGCGGGTACCAGGAGTCTCCTTGTAAGAGAGCTGGGAGAAGGGAAGGGGAGAAGAGAGGGCGGGGTGAGTAGTGAGATGAGAGTGGGTGAGACTAACAGCACAGCCTATGACTTTTGAGGCGTCTTAAAACAGCCTATGGCTGATGGCTGCTGTGAGGAAGATGAGGAATGAGGAACGCCAGCAGCGAGTAGACAGAGATGGCTTGAAAGAGATCAAGAAGCAGGGAGGAGAGGAAGGAGGTGATGTTCAAGTCAACTCAAAAGTCACCTGACAGGAAGATAAGGAACAGGAGCAGCGGGTAGAAAGAGGTGCCTTGCACGGAGGAGGGGAAGGAGGGGAATAATTCCTAATTTCAGGGTTTAGGGTGTATAAAATACAAGCCAAGCTCTCAGTGCGTGTGTGCCCTCAACAGAGGAAGCAGGCACCCAGTGGTTGTCTATGTACCTTCCACAGGCGAGTGGTCGTGGCTGTTGAGGCAGTCAGGGCAGGTCATTGTGACTTTGAATTCCCCATCCACACATTGCGTCACATGCCCCTCTTTGCCTTGCTGCCCCTGACAGCACATCCACCTCTTTTCCCCCGGACAGAGCAGCGATGTAGTAGTCCCAAGCCTAGCCCATATCCTACGTACCTTCCATAGGCGAGTGGTCGTGGCTGTTGAGGCAATCGGGGCAGCTCATTGCGAATTTGAACTCCCCATCCACCCACCGCGTCACATGGCCCTCCTTGGTGGTGTTGACAGCGCACCTACCTCTTTACCCCCTGATAGAGTGAACATGCTAAGCCTATTACGTACCTACTTTCAGTAGGTGAAGCAAGCACCCAGTGCGTACCTTCCACAGGCGAGTGGTCGTGGCTGTTGAGGCAGTCTTGGCAACTGAGCCCACCTTGAACTCCCCATGCACCCACCGCGTCACATGGCCCTCCTTGGAACCGCGGAAGTCACACAATTCTACCACCACAACCCTCTATAGCCCGCCTCATATGTACCTTCCACAGGCGAGTGGTCGTGGCTGTTGAGGCAGTCGGGGCAACTGAAGGCCACCTTGAACTCCCCATCCACCCACCGCGTCACATGCCCCTCCTTGCTGCCCCTGAAGTCATCCGCGCACAGCTGGAACTTGTCAAACGTATCGTCCACTTTGAATGTATCAGCTTCGTACAAGCCACAGGTCTTGCACTCTGCAGAGGCGAGCTCGACCAAAGGCTGTGCTTGCGGAGGGGAAGAAGGAAGGTGGAGAGAGAGAGAGGGCGGGATCGTGAATCAGCTGCTCTCAGAGTCATCCGGTGGTTGCCGAGGATTCCCAAAGTTGAACTGCTGCACTCAATTCATCAGCTCAGCTCAGCGCACACCTTAAGAGGGACTGGGAGGGAATGCGAATGGGTCCGCCTGGTATAGCCCACACATCTTGCATCGAGATGATTTGAGCTGTATGAGGGACTGGGAGGGCGGGAAAATCCACCTGAAGCCCACCTTAAGCCCACCTGAAACCCACCTGAAGCCCACCTTAAGTCCACCTGAAACCCACCTGAAGCCCACCTTAAGCCCACCTGAAACCCACCTGAAACCCACCTGAAACCCACTGAAACCCATCTGAACTGCCTTGTGCCTGGTGAAGGTGCACGTTCTGTTACCCCCCACCAGTTCGTCTAACATGAGTTTCGAGACGTCTAAAAAATAATTCTAGAATGTGCTGCATCTCGTTCTTGCACTGGAAGTAGCAACAGGAATCACTACCCACCTGAAATTCCTCCTGGCCGGTGAAATTTTAGGGGACAATAGCCCGCACAACCCCCTGCAGTACGTGCTGCATCCCCCCTTCAACTGCACCACCTGAAACTCACCTGAAACCCACCTGCTGAAACCCACCTGAAATTCCTCCTGGCCAGTGAAATTGTAAGTGAGATTAGCCTGCACCACCCCCTGCAGCACGTGCTTCATCTCCCCCTCTGCTACACCACCTGAAGCCCACCTAAACCCACCTGAAATTCCTCCTGGCTGGTGAAATTGTAAGTGACATTAGCCTGCACCACCCCCTGCAGCACGTGCTTCATCTCCCCCTCTGCTACACCACCTGAAGCCCACCTCAACCCACCTGAAATTCCTCCTGGCCGGTGAAATTGTAAGTGACATTAGCCTGCACCACCCCCCTGCAGCACGTGCTGCATCCCCCCTTCAACTGCACGACCTGAAACTCACCTGAAACCCACCTGCTGAAACCCACCTGGAATTCCTCCTGGCCAGTGAAATTGTAAGTGACATTAGCCTGCACCACCCCCTGCAGCACGTGCTTCATCTCCCCGTCACACTGGAAGTAGACGGAGGGGTCCCAAGGCGAGTAGGGCGAGTCGTGCGTCGTGTCGAGGCGCAGGTGCGTTATAGTCACGTTGGCAGCTGCATGTGAGTAGAGCGAGGAGGGGGTGTTAGGGGGGAGAGAGAAGGTGGAGTGGGGATGTGGGTTGAGGGACCAGGGGAAGAGGAATTGGGGTCCAGGCGAGTACGGCTAGTCGCGCGTCGTGTGCGCAGGTGTGTTTTAGTCACGCTGACAGCTGATTGGGTAGAGTGGGTTGAGTCGACGTGGGGATGAGATCAGCGATGGTCGCGGTTGCAGCACGACAGAGGCGAGAGGGGAATGAAGCGGGAAAAGGAGGGGGCGGGGGAGTTGTGGGGGGAAAGGGTGGGGGTGTGCGGGGAAAGGTGAATAGGGGCGCAGGCGAAAGCGACCGCATTTAGGTCGACATAAAAGTAGAATTTGAACGGAGATGGCTGGCAGTTGCGTTTGCAGCAGGATAGAGGAAAGGATGGGGAGGGGTAAGAAGGAGGGGGACGTAGAGGGACAGGAAGGGAGGGTGTTTCAGAGAAGAACAGGGGGTGGAGAAACCGGGTGCATTACTAGAAGCTAATCGCATGAAACTCGCGGGAGCAAGCGCGGAAGAATCACAGAATGATATTTTTTATTATTATTAATGCTATAAAAAAAGAATGGGATTCCATCTCCCAGCATCACTCGAGGGAGACAAAACAGTCCCTTCAGGGTTGCGACGAATGCGACGCACCTCTCGCGACGGTTGCGACGAATGCGAGCACCATCGACGAGACCGCGATGCGCAAGAACGACCATTTTAAGCATCGTGGCCGCTCCATAACCAAGACGGCTGCGGCGTAACGGAGGAAATAATATTATATATACGGTGGCAAATGGCGGTCCGTCGTGGCTTGGTTTAGGACCAATTACGGAGCAATCTTTAGATTCATGGATCCCCCCCGGAATTACCCGAGTGAATCTCGATGGATCCTAGGTTTTGCAAGACGTACCGTATTTGTGTGTGCATTCGGCTGGACGGGGAATCAACCTGAGGGAGGATTCAGACATCGACATTGTGTTGCAAGCAGATATTCTTTTCGAGGAGGATGACCTCAGGGCAGATCCAAGAGCCGACCCCCAAGCCTACGTCTCGTAACGATCGCATTAATTTCGCCCCCCGTTACGATTTCGGGTCCGGGCGGAGTCTTAAAACCACGACCGTCCGAACGATTTTGTGCCCCAAATGCAACAAAAGATGTTATCAAATTGAAACAAAGAAACAAAGAGTAGTTACAAGTGGTAACCGAATCTTGCTCTTGTTCCGGGACCCCAGATGTTTCACCGGGGAGCTGAAATGCATGCAATGCAACCCCTGCATGATGCTGTTACTCTTCGGCTGCCCTAAAAAAACCTAACCGTTCTCTTTGTCAACGAGACCGTCAGTTAACTTCCTGAACCGCATGGGAAAATATTGTTGCGATACACACTCACGCCGTGTGACGTGACAACGTCATGCCATCCCATCCATGCCCCAAACACTCCAACACGTTCGAGCTCCCAGATTCTGGTCACATACACCGATAACCTCGAGGTCCCCGCCGTCGCGAGGTGTCGCGAAACTCAGCAGTCACTTGATTTACTGGGTCGGCCGCCGGGCGAAAATATATTTCACGAAAAAACAAGGGCGAACGAACACCTGACTTGTTCGTCAACAATAATTGTCTTATGCAGGCTTTGCGAGTGGCAGGGTGGTTCTGCTTGAGCTTTCCACAAACCTCCAAGTTTCTTCGTTTCTTGATAATGCAAGCACACACATCACGCACCAAGAATATGCTCCTATTTTAATGAGACAACGAGCGCACACTTCGTCAGGATAGGGCGACGTCTCGTGTTCCATCGATCTTCCCCGCATATCACGCTCTACCGGACCCTTTGAACCCTCTTATAACGATTGCTGAACTCGGTCGTGATAACCTCACAATGTATATTCTTAGTACGTTTAACGATACGAATAACGAAACCGGTAGTGTAACTTTCTAGCGGTGCAGGCTGTCGTCGTCTCATTTTGAAGTGAGCCGTTCAAACATGAGATGAAACCTTAACTTGAGCTCGGATGGCGTTCCGGAGCGGCTCGTTCCGTTTAGATGCCATATTAAGTTCTCATGAGCTCTCGGAGCGGCTAGGTCTGTCTAGCTGCCATCGCTGTTCAAACATGAACTGAGCCTCTTTCTTAAGCTCGCATGGACGCCATAGCTTTCCATAGCGGCGGCTCGTCGGCGCGATCGCAAAAAAACTTCAATCCACGCGACCGTCGCTCGCCGTTCACCAAGCCGTTTTGGCGACTTCAGCATCAGGAGCAGAAGCATGAGCAGCATGAGCAGCATGAGCAGCATGAGCAGCATGAGCAGCATGAGCAGCATGAGCAGCATGAGCAGCATGAGCAGCATGAGCATCAGGAGCATCAGGAGCAGCAGGAGCAGCAGCAGCGGTCGTGTGACCGAGACCAGCAGCAATTGGAAGAGGCGCAGCAAGAGCAGGAGCAGCAGGAGCAACGGGATCGTTATCAGCAGCATCTGGAATCGACGGCTGAGAAGCTGCGGAGGGAGTTGGAGGCAATGCTGGTTGCAGATGTAGACAGAGATGCGACGTTCCAGGTCAGACTATATACGAAAAGAAAATGCTAATTGATTGCAAACATTACAAACAAAAGAGTTCTGTGAAAAGCCCACTACTCATTTTTGAAAAATTCTAAAGATTGACTCCAACATAGCCCACTACTCTGTTCATTTACACTACCACTGAGCTTTCTACTTCTCTATTTTCTCATCCGGACGTGCCCATTTTCTCCTGTGACCCACTCATCCATCACTGTTCTCCTCTGTCCCTACAATCACCCTTGCCACGTCAGCTCAAGCTCACGAGCAAGCTGGACCAATGGCACGCGTTTCACGAGAAAGCGACAAGAGGGCTTCCTGTTTCCGCGGAAGGCGCTGAGGCTTCAAGCAGCCAACCCGCCAACGTCCACCCTCTGGAGGTTGACGAATCAGCTGATGCCACGTGTCCATCCGACCGTGCAGCGTCTGGCTATGAGACCGAAGAGCGGGCAGCAGAATCTGAAGCTCGGGCAGCAGAGGTTGTAGCGCGGGCAGCAGAGGGTGATGCTCGGTCGTCAGCGGGTGTAGCTGGGGCAGGAGCAGCAGCACTTGAAACGCGAGAGGCGAAAGCAGCAGAATTTGTGAAAGCAGCGGTCACACCAAAGCAGCTGGACGCAGCAGCAGATGCTCGAGGGGCTGCTTTGGAGGCAGCACTGCAGATGCAACGAGAGGAGGTAGAGGCTAAGGCAGCTGTGATACAGGAGCTGCAGGTGAGATTACACGCAGCAGAAACCAGAGAGGCGGGTTTGGAAGCTTCTCTGAAGCTGCAACGGGAGGAGCTTGAGGCGAAAGCAGCAGAGGCGTTGGAGGCACGAGCAGCAGAAGCAGCAGCGCTGCAGCAGCAGTTAGACGAAGCAATCTCCCATGAAGCAGCCTTTGACGCGTCCCTGAAGCTGCAGCGAGAGGAGTTAGAAGCAAAGGCAGCAGAGGTGCAGGGCCTGCAGGAGCTATTACAAGCAGCAGCAACCAGTGAAGCAGCTTTTGATGCTTCTTTGAAGCTGCAGAGGGAGGAGCTAGAGGCAAAGGCAGCAGAGGCGTTGGCGGCACAGGCTGGGATGGAGGAGAGGAGGCGGGTGCGGGCTGCAGAGGCGGCTGCTGCTCGGTTGGCAGAGGTGGAGGCGCGGTTGGGAGAGGTGGAGAGGGAGAGAGAGCGGTTGGCGAGGAACCTGGGCCGGCTGCAGCAACACCTGCTGGATCGGGTGAGTGGTGGTGGTGGGGGAGGGTTGGGAGGGTAGTGGAAGATGGTGAGTGGGTGGTGGTAGTGGAACGAGAGAGAGGCTCCTCACTCTCGAGCTTTTCCCCATGTTTGCCCATGTTGACCCTACCTTCACCTTGCCAGTCCAGTGTATTTTTTCCAACTCTTTGTGTTCTCACAACATTCCTTTACTCCCCGTGCCGGCGTGCCCTCCCGTCTGTTTTGCTGCATGCGCCAGGATGCAGACGAAATGAGTCTCTGCCATGCAGGGTACTCTTCGGAGGATTCCTTCAAAGAATCAAGCATCTCAATTCTCGCCGTTCTCTTCATTTCTGCTGTCACGCTGACGAGACGCTGCACACGTAGGATCTTTTTAAGAGTTCTCAGGTATCATGCGACATCCCCGTTCTCTCCATTCCCCGCCTTTCCGCTGTTACAGGATGCTGACGAGACACTGCGCATTGAACGAGAGGCCGAGAGGATCCGCCAGCTGGAGTGCCAGCTGGCAGATAAGGCGAAGGCTCTCGGCCAATCAGAGTGCGAGAGGGTCGTTTTGGAGCGGCAGCTGGCGGATAAGGCGAGCCAGCTCGGCCAATCGGAGCAGCGGAGAGTGCGGCTGGAGCAGCAGCTGGAGGAGATGAGCAGGGAGGTTCGGGAGGCTCGGATGCAGTTGGCTCAGCGGCAGGCTCGGACCGAGCCTGCTGGACAGGCGAGGCAGACAGATATTCGTGATGGGGACTTTTTGGAAGTAAAAGGGGCGGGTGGGGAGTTACGAGTTAAAGAAGTGGAGGAGCAGGAGCAACAGGGCATGAGCCAGACAGAGGTGTTACCAGCCATGGCACCAGGCTTGGCAACAGACTTGGGAACAGGCTTGGCAGCAGGCGGATTACCAGGCGTGTTACCAGATGTGTTACGGCAGGTGTTGGAAGCGGCTCATCGGCCAATCGTGACAGGCCATCCCATGTGCATGCATGCTCGGATGTTGGTGAGCGGACAACGCATGGAGGATGGAGATGCATCACATGCCGCTGACGTGGCATCCCATCATGCATCGCATGCTGACGTGGCATCCCATCATGCATCGCATGCTGACGTGGCATCCGATTATGCATCAGGGGCAGGGACAGGGACAGGTGCAGCAGCATCAATTGAAGATGCTCGTGCTGCTGATGGTTCAGAATCTGCAGCAGCATCGTGTGTAGATGCATGGGCTGCAGATGCTTCACACGCTGCAGCAACACCAGCTTATGAGCAGGCGCGTAAAAGCTCGGCGCAGGTGTTGGCTCGAGAGGCGATGTGCGTAGCAGCACAGTCATCAGAGGAGGCAGAGGGTGCGATTGGAGCAGGAGACTGTCTCTGTGCAGAAGGATCAGTGTTTGAACAACTGTCACCATCACCATCACCATCACCATCACCATCCGATTCACCATCACCATCACCAGTCACGTTGCGCCACGGCCAACCGTTTCAAGTCTTACTACCAGCACAAGCCGAGCCGATACAAGAATCTGTGACGCAACAAGCCTCTACACAAAAAGACCCTTCACAAGAACCAGTTGTCTTCCAACCCCATCAACCCCATGAACATGCGTCTACCACATCGCTCTCCCACAAGGCCGCATGTAGCCTTGAAATGCATCAAACTAGGCAGCACAGGGTGCACCCGAGTATGTCCACCCCCTTACTCAGTCTTGAAACTCGTCACTCCAGGGGAGAACAGCAGCGCGAGACAGCAGGGAGGCCTGGACCTGGTGGGGCTGAAGCAGGGAGGCCTGGACCTGGTGGGGCTGAAGCAGGGAGGCAGCGTGAGATGGCAGCTCTGGTGGAGGAGAATGGGAGGCTGGAGGCGGAACGGAATCGGGCTGAGGAAGAGAGAGCGAGAGCGGAGGAGAGGAGTGCGAGGGCGGGTGAAGAGATGCATGTGCTGCGAGGCAACCTGCAGGTGTGTTTGTGTGAGGCAGCACAGAGCGTGTACTGTCTTCTTCTCCCCTCCCCTCGTTCCCCTCCTCGTCCCTTCCTGTTTCCCCCCCACCCATCAGGAGGCAGAGGCGTTGTGCTGGCAGCGGCAGGCTCAACTGGAGCAGGCGTTATCTGAGGCAATACAGAGCATCTAATGATTCCTTCCCGCTCTTATATCCCCTCTTGATTCATTCCACACATCAGGAGGCGGAGGCGTTATGCTGGCAGTGGCAGCCTCAACTGGAGCAGGCGTTATCCGAGGCAATACAGAGCATCTAATGATTCCTTCCCACTCTTATATCCCCTCTTGATTCATTCCACACATCAGGAGGCGGAGGCGTTGTGCTGGCAGAGGCAGGCTCAGCTGGAGGAGGCGTTATCTGAGGTGGCAGCGGGGAGGAGGGAGAGGGGGGCTCTAGAGGAGGAGTTGCTTCGGCTGCAGTGTGCTCTGGATCAGTGCATGCTGCGACTCAATAGCGATTCTGCTTATATGGTGGACAGGTGAGCGATGCTCATTCTGCACGTACGATGTCACATGGCACATTTGAGCTGGGAATGATCACAGTACCATCCTTGCTGCTCTTACTGCTGGGGGTTGACGTTGCTGTTGCTGCTGCTGTTGGTTTGGCCTCTTGGATTGAATTAATCTGACTTGTTTCTTTAAAGCGACGGTGCACATTTGTCAAGCGGAGGTTCAGAAGTTTTTGTTTTGAACCAGCCTTGCCAGCGCGAAAGTGTTGGCTGGCGAAAACCGGGATTTCGTGCGGACACTTTTCCTCTGCAGTAACAGTTCGCCAGGGTTTCGGGTTTCGGGTGGCAAATGTGCACCGTCGCTTTAAGTTAGGGTCCCTTCCATTCATTCAAAAGTATTCGTGTTACCATCATGTGTTGTCATCCCCAATCTCCGGTTGCTTCTACTAACAAAGTTGAGGGAATTGCTCGGACTCTTACCTGCTTTCTGTGCTTCGTTTGAACAATCATATTCGGTGGCAGGAGAATCGTGGTGAAGCTTCTTGTGGCATATTTCCAACGCAACCGCAGCAGAGAGGTGAGCATATCGGCATGGGCACGGGCACGGGCACGGGCACGGGCACAGGCACGGGCGTGGGCACGGGCACGGGCGTGGGCATGGCACGGGCATGGGCATGGGCATGGGCATGGCATGGCATGGGCATGGCATGGGCATGGGCATGGGCATGGGCATGGGCATGGGCATGGGCATGGCCATGGGCATGGGCATGGGCATGGCATGGCACAAATTTGAATGTTCTGAGTGTATTTCAATCAACTCCGAGGTCTCATTCACTTATTCAATTGATGCCTGTCGCACTATGCCTTCGTTTTGAGGCGCCTCAAAAGTAGACTTCTCAATTAACTCTGAGGTCTCATTCACTCATTCAATTGATTCCTGTCGCACTATGCATTCCTTTCTTCCTGCGCCTCAAAGCTCACATCATACTCCGAGCTCTCGTTCGTACGTACGCCATGTGCCTTACAATACATACTTGGCTTCACATTATGGATCGGATCGTTGAGTGCTCCGACTGCTTTCATTCTCAGCTCCAATCTGGGAATCACTATTGAGATTCTCATAAGTGATTCTCATTCCGATGTCATGCGCCCCACAAGTGTCGCATCATTGGATCCTCCACTTCATCCGATATCACATTTCCTGGCCTGCACTTCACAACAGGTGCTTGACATAATGTGTCGCATTCTCGAGTGCTCCAAGGACGAGAGGCAGCAGCTAGAAGCAGCAGCTTCGCACCCTGCTCTCACCAGAAGCGCCAGTTTCAAATCCAAGGGGAGTGCGCGGCAGGGCAGCAGCAAGGGCAGCAAGGGAGGAGTTTTCGGGCTGCCCGGACGGATCGCGGGCGGGTTTATGGGGTCGAATAGAAGCAGTTCGGAAAGTTTGGGAGGGGCTGGGAAAGATTCCCAGAAGCAGGAAGAGGCGGAAAAAAAGCCAGAGGCGAAAAAATCAGGGGTAAGATTGTGCATGACTTGCCTTTCCTTCACATTTCTTCGAAAGCTGTCACTTGCTGTGATGTCACTTGCTGTGATGTCACTTGCTGTGATGTCACTTGCTGTGATGTCACTTGCTGTGATGTCACTTGCTGGGATGTCACTTGCTGTGATGTCACTTGCTGTGATGTCACCTGCTGTGATGTCACTTGCTGTGATGTCACTTGCTGTGATGTCACCTTGTGATGTCACTTGCTGTGATGTCACCTGCTGTGATGATTTTCCAGAATTCATGCTTCCGTTTTCAACCACCTGCAGTCGTTCACAGGCTTCAAGGTGGATTTTCTTGGGGAGGAAACAGATGATGACAAAAGAACTCATAGCTCTCCCCCTGCACTTGCTTTCTCTCTGTGCTGCCTGTCTCAGAACTCCTAACCCATACCCCATACCCTGCAGTCCCTCTCTGACCTTTGGGTGGATTTTCTTGTGACGGAGACAGACAAGGACAGATAGCAGAGGCAGGGCCAGCAGCAGCAGCAGCCACAGTGGCAAGGAAGAAAGCTGAAAATGATTAATCTGTGTGTTATCCTTGTGCCCATGTCTCCCTCCCTGCAGTCCCTCACTGACCTCTGGGTGGATTTTCTTGTGAAGGAGACATGCGATTAGAGAGAGCGGAGGCAGGGCCAGCAGCAGCGGCCACATCAGCAAGGAAAAAAGCTGAAGTTTCTTTGTCTGTGTGTTCTCCTTGTGCCCGTTTCTCCCTCCCTGCAGTCCCTCACTGACCTCTGGGTGGATTTTCTTGTGACGGAGACAGACGATGAGAGAGAGCGGAGGCAGGGCCAGCTGCAGCACCAGCAGCAACAGCACCAGCAGCAAGAAAGCGGCAATCTTAGAGCGAGCAGGAGTTCTCCTCCAGATTCCAATTCTTCTACCGATTCACGTTCTTGTAACGAAGGGCCTCGTCCCCCACAGCATCCAACCTACACTACCAGACAGAGCTTGCCGCCCAGGTCTCCATCCTACCAACAGCAGCACATGTACCAACAGCAGCATGCGAGACACACCCGATCGCCCTCTTATCCCCCAAGGTCTCCTCCCTACCCGCCACGATCCCCATCATATCCTCCTAGATCGCCTCGCTGTTCCTCTCCAGGATTTTCCCCTCGTTCTCCAGCCAGCCCCTCAAGAGTTCCCGGGCATGCTGCGTTGTTTTTCTCGCCGGGCAGCCCGCCTCTCCGGTTTTCAAGCTTGTCTCCTCGCTCTCCTTATGCCACTAGCCTCTCTGTTAGCAGCAGCCCTGTTTGCTGAAGGTAATTCTCAGATGTAAAATAAGGCGTCTGTGATATTTCCTGTTGTGAATTTGTGGAGTAATTCCATGTAAGCTTACCTTTCCTACTGACCGAATTTGATATTAGGGGTTGGGTTACGGCAGTGCAGAAGTGTTCCAATGTTCTTTTTACATTGTATTACAAATAATCGGTCAACACTGTTCATTGTTGTGCGTCTCTCGGCTCGGACCTGCTGCGTTCGAGTGGCAGTTTGGGCAGCTTCCGTGAACACGTGGCAAGGCAAGGCGCTGTCGTTCCTTCCCCTTCCCTCCCTCCCTCCCCTCCCACAGGCAGAAGTGCGCTGCAGTGCGTGCGTTACCGAAAGTTTGGCAGTTCCCTTCGTACGGCCACTAATGTTCGCGTCGGCTACATCGAGCTGCTTGTTGTGGGGAGGAGAGGAGGAGATGAAATATCGCCTCGCCGTTACAGGTTTTAGCGGCAGTGACTGCCAGCTAGGCCTTGGGCTACTGTAGTTGGCGGTCCAGCCAAATCTGTCTGCCTCCCACAGGCATCTCCGAAGAGGGGAGGGTAAGGCGGGACAGGAAGGGACAGAAGTGAGAGTGGAGGGTTGGAGGAGGCAGAGGCCTTGAGCGGAGGGGGAGAGAGAGGGGGGGATGCGGGAAGGGGGTGGCTGGCAGGTGTGGTTTGTTTGTTGATCGACATCCCAGAAGCAAATCAACTCTCGCGAATATGTTACACCTGGCCCGTTTCCTGAGATGCCACTGGTGGTGCCGTTTCTTCGCGTGCGAACGAATCATTTTCGTTCGTACGGTTCGGAAACCGCCTCCATCTGTATTTCCTCCAGTCGTGCTGTACGAGACAAGTGACTACCCCCCACACTTGCACACCACCCGTGCCATGCCCTTTTCACGGGCAAGAATAATTTTCGCTGTAAGGATGATTTAGTTTTACCGCTGTTCTGCTCTACGAGATTTGCGGATGTGGAGTGCGCGTGGGGGCCACCTATCACGTCGACCACCCAACCCTTCTGTGTGTGCTGACCGAAGTGTAGCCTCATCTCACAGCAACTACAAAACGCATTTTGTAGTGTTGTGCTTGTTTACGAATCACCGACTTTCACTGCTGTGCTAAAAGGGCAGAAGCAGACACAGCTTGCTGATGTTCTGGGTGGACATAAAACAAGTTGATTCACAGCAATTCAATTTCAAGCCTTTTCCACAGCGCGGAATACTTACCGCCCGCGATTATTTCTCTTACCTAAACATATCAGAACAAGTAATCTGTCAACTGGCATTTCGCATAATTTTCGTTATTTTTTTGCCGAGATTCAAACACGTGTAACCGCTCAGTTCACCCAGTGTCGACTTTCTGCGACCCCCACACTTGGCGAAATCGTTTCAAATCTCATTGGGGAGGAAGTATTGTGGAGGGTTTTCCAAGTTTCAACTGAACTAACCACACTGCGCCGACCAATACCTGAGGAGTACACTTCGTTCCGTTTCGATTTGATAGGATTTCTGGGTCAGAAAGAAGGCAAGATTCGTTACGAATTACTGAGAAGTCGGTATAGCATGGTAAACCCGCGTTTGAAATGGTTCAAAGCGTTTCCCGGCGGTGGTGAACGGAGAAGACTCGAGAGACTCGTTGTCAGCAGCGGCAACGACAGCGTGAGTGCAGGGAGCAGAACAATGCATGGCTGGCGCGAGGCGAGGCGCAAACAAGAACGGTGCAGGCAGCGAGAGTGTATCAAGCACAGCTTTCGTCAGCAGCAGCCCTCTCAGAGCTTCGGCGCAGCTGTGCATAAGAACGAAGAAAACCACACCCATCTGTCACTCATCCCACTTTCATCTCTCTTCCTGACCAGTCGTCCTTGAACAACCCTCCAACAACAGACGTTCCTATCGCCGAATTTTCTTGGATCTCGTCGAAAGCCCTCGCAGCGCAAACCCTCTCGTACCATAAACAGTTGCAGCTCGATTTTGCACAAATTGTGTCGCGTAGATCAACCACCCGCTCGCAGCCTAATTTTTCTCCTTGATTTCTGATTGAACTTACGCAGCGCTGAATTCGTTCATATTACTTTTCCAGGACAATTGTCTAATACCACTGCCCACTCGTACTCGCTCCACGCCATTTATTCCACGTCATCTCACTATTTCTCCGCCAATGACGCCTCCTAGCTCCACGCGCGTCCGCGTTCCAGCGTCCAATAGCGTGCCATCACCGTCGTCCTCGGCCAATCAGCGCCGCGTCGACGACATTCTCTCCCGCTTCTCGCGGTCCGCGTCCGTTGATGGCGGCTCGTCCACCGAGTCAGTACCCTTCGAACCGGCGCAACGGTCATCGAGCCACTTCAACTCTCCCTCCTCGTCGCGTCGCCTCGCGGTTCGGCTACTCGTCGGTGGTGTCGAGTCGCTACAAGTACCGTCGCCAAGGCCGCCGTCGCCGTCGCCGTTGCTGTCGCCGTCCCCGTCGCCGCACCGTATGGGGGTGGACTATTCGTTCCCTTCGCCGAAACTTCCGCCGCGAAAGACGCGGCAGCAGTCGAATCCCGGCCACATTTCCCCCTGCTCGCCTTCGTCGCCCGACGCGCGGCTCCTTCTCAAAGACCAGCACCGCGACGAGAGCCGCGAAGAGCGCCGAGATGAACGGCGCCGCCTGCGCAAGGTTTCGCAGTCGGAGCGCCCCGAAAGGCCGAGTCGCCACTACAACAGTTCCTCGTCGCAGCTCGAGCCTCGTCAGCAGCAGAGGAGCATTTTAAAGACGTCGCCCCCGCGAGAGTCGGCATGGGAGGTATGCGACGCGCTCAGTCACACGAGCGTCGCCGCTGCAATGGCCGAGTCGCCGTCATCCCCGCTAACAGCCGCCTCGCGACTCTGTAAAAGCAAGCGCAGCTCAAGCAAGTGTAACGTCGCTGCGGAAGCGGTGGTCGCAGGCCTTGAAGTCACCGCAGCGGCTGCAGCGGCGGCAGATGCGGCGAGGGACGGGCAATGGCTCGCAAGCGGGTTCGAGGAGCTTCAGAATAAGCTCGAAGCGTTCTCAGTTACCACGCAGCAGCTGGCGGTCTCGCTGGAAGAAGCTCGGAAGGAGGCCCGCGAATCGCGGGAAGCCATGGATGCGGCTCGGGCGGAGCGCGATTTGCTGGTGGTTGAGATGGAGGCCACGCTGGCAGCTTGGTCCACGTCGGACGCGGAAAAGGCGGAGGAGCTGGCGCGGGTGGAGGCAGAGAAGATAAGGGCGGAGCGGGAAAATGGGGAATTAAAGCGTGAGTTATTGGAGACTAAGAGGCAGTATGCGGAGATTAAGAGGCAGCTGGAAATGATGAGAGCAGAGAGGGACGCGGCTGTGACTCATGCTCGGGTTACTGTGGCTAGAGCAGCAGCCGCTGGTGCTGGTGGCTCTGGTGCTGGTGGTTCAAGTGAGTCCTTGCCTCGTGATAGCTCCTCCCACCTTCGGCCTCGGCACCCGTGCTTCACTCCCCTCCGCGCGGATCAAACGGAAGATGACTGCAGCAATGGCAACAGCAGCTCTAGTTTTGCTGGAAGCAGTGCCGGCAGCAGTACCAGCACTCGCAGCCCTACTTCCGGGAAGTCCAGGGGTGAGTTAAGAGGCAAGTACAGCACAACAGGTGCGAGTGGCAGTAGCAGCAGCTGCAGCCTCTCTGAAATCCTGACTCGGGAACCACAGGTGCCGTCGCAGGTGACGGCCGGGGGAGGAGGAGGAGGCAGCAGTGGGGGGTTGAAGAAGTTGCATCGGTCTCATGATGCGCTGCAGGCGTATGGGAATGTGGAGGATGGGAGGATAGTTGTCCCCCAGAAGCACGTTCAGTGGTCTGAGCAGTGCTGCTGAGTGGTTGCCTTGACACAAAGGTGGCAGTGGGGGGTTGAAGAAGATGCATCAGTCTCATGATGCTGCCGGCGTATGGGAATGAGGAAGATGGGAGGATAGTTGTCCCTCAGAAGCACGTTCAGTGGTCTGAGCAGTGCTGCTGAAGGGAAGCTTTTGAGACACAGTGCCCCAGTCCTGGACAGGACAGCGTCCAGTGTCTGCATTGTATATAAATTTTTTGTTTTTTCATGTGACATCTTATGACAACAAACATGTACCGTACCGTACCAGCACATCCTGGATAAAATGGGTGAAATTGGTAAGGTACTCATCTGTTCTGTAATTCTTCCAACAGTATCTACCCATGCATAATATCGGCAAGAGAAGAGCTAGCCCTATCACATGAAGCTGCAATACATGAAAAAGGTGCAACGGAGAAATATTCACAGCACAGTATTGCAGTCCACAAAAGCGAAATAAGGTAGTATAGAAGAAACACCAAGACTGATGCTGATACCAAGACTGATGCTGATACCGTAGTTGAGTGTCAAATTACAGATGTCATACAAATGAATCACAATCCCTGAAAGGACCTTCACTCTTTCTTGCCAATCCCAAAAGACATGTTGAACAAACCCCTGCCCTGCAACCCACCAGCAGCACAAAAGGAAATGGAACCAGTCTATCAGATATGCAGATTATGGCCAGAGGAGAATACCAAAGGAGAATACCACAGGAGAAGACCACAGGAGAAGACCAAAGGAGAATACCAAAGGAGAAGACCACAGGAGAAGACCAAAGGAGAATACCAAAGGAGAATACCAAAGGAGAATACCTAAGGAGAAGACCACAGGAGAAGACCAAAGGAGAAGCACCTCTAACATCTCAGAAGATACATAAAGGCCGTTTATAGCCAGTGACCTTCCACCAAAGGTCCCCACTCTCTTGCGCTCTAAGCCAGAGTCCTTTTGAAGAATACAATGCCAAAGAGACGGCCATAAGCGTTCTCACTGTGCAGAACACGAGAGTCCGTACTTACGATAAGCACAGCGAAACTCTGACCGAGTTTATGCCCCTCAGGATGAGCATGGCCGCGTGCACCGCGAGAACAGACGGAACAAGCGCGAACGGAGCAGCACAGCGCGAGGTCGTGATCCGTTCACGAAGGCGCGAGCCGACTGCAACGGCTATTGTGCGAATCTATGTCAGTGCAAATCAATGTTTTGGTGCGATCTAGTGCGCTTCGGTCCGATTCAGTGCGGTTCGGTGCGGTGCAGTGCTATCTCGTGCGCCACGTATTTCTTACAGTGAGCACGGCGGCGCTCAGGTTAGCACGGACAGGAATGACGACGCTCGTGATCCGATCGCCGGGACCATTCAAGTGCGTCAGAGAGCGGCCGACTCCAATGGTTTCCGCGGAACCCAGAGCGATGCAGAGTTATGCACCACTACGGTTCAGTGCGGTTCAGGGCGATTCAGTACGATACCATAATGCATTTCTTACAATGAGCGCGGCGGCGGTGAGCGCGAGCACGGACGGAATGACGACGCTCGTGATCCGATCGCCGGGACTCTTCAAGTGCGTCAATGCGCGAGCCGACTGCAGCAGCTTCTGCTGTTCCCGAAGAGCACTGCTGACGTCCGTCATGGCGAGCGCTTCGCTCTGCTGGTTGCGAAACCAGTTGAGAAAAAAACACGTTGGCGAAAACAGATGAAGAACGAAAAGATCGAGCGAGAATTATCACGTGGTAAACAGAAGACGACTGCGGTAACTCAGCAATCGGACGACGAAAAACCGAGAGAAAAAAAAAGACATGTTGATACACTGGAAGCACAGCACTTACGGAAAGATTAATCGACGGAACGTGAGGGATGGTGGCCCGAGTCCACGAAGAGGCAGCGTAGAGGTAGCTGAACGGCAGCAACACTAGGCAGGTATCCCGAAGAATCTTTATCCTTTTGACCTCTAGGGTTCCGCCGTCGAGTCGAGCTCAGGCGGGGGAAGCTAGGGCTTGTCAGGGTGTACGCGCTGTTAGGCGATGCCTCGGCAAGGTTACGAATGCAATTGCCTGAGCCAACAAGGATTGCACTATGGGGGAAAAAAATACCGTGCAAGCGAAGGCGTGAGGTAACATTATATAGTAGGCGGGTAAAGCATGAATATTTAGCCGCTATACAGGCTTAGCACAGAGGAACGGGACTTGGCAGCGGAGCAACCAGGATGACGCCACGGAAGTGAATCCTTATGATTACAAATGCTACAAGAGGCCTCACTCACAACAACACAAGCCTCTAACAAAAAAAAAATCCACACACACATTCACCCTACTCCCCCGGGCAAGACTTTACACTAACAAACTACATCTATAAGTATTCATCCAGCTTACATGAGCATGCGCACTTATTGAACTTCACCACGACGAGCATTGCATATGTGGAAGATAACTTGAACTGGTCTTACTGCTCAGCATTAACACGCTCAGCTTCATCTATCCATTCAGAAAACCTGCGTTGAACAGAGAGGGGATAATATGATGATATATATCACCTCATTTCATGCAGAGATATGTGCATGAGTGACAGTGAACACATGATGGCAGAGAGCGAGGAATAAAGAGGAGGGGCGAATGTCATGGGTGTGTGAAAAGACAGGAGATGGATAGAGTGGAAGCATGGGCCAGAATATAATCGGAGGCAGGTCACGTACAGGTCAATCGGCTCGCTCAAATCTGTTGGTGATGCAGAGCAGCAGCACACCATGTGGAAACAAAATCAGAACGATTATGTTTACAGTCCCACGCCGCCAAGAATAAGGTGGTCCGAAGTTGTGCATTTTGTTACAGAATTTGGATGGCAAGACGGAAAAAAAGGGTCGGCAAGGAAGGTGGAGAGGAAGAAGAAAAAGAGGTTACAGGGGTTACGGGTAACTAAGCCACAACGATGAAAGCGATGCAGTAAAAACTGATGAGAATAGACGACAACCATAACAAAACTGGATGGGTGAGTGGATGGATGGATGGATGGATGGACAAACAGACGGATGGGCGGACAATTGTGCACGCACTGTCAATGGTGGTTTGGTACTGCTCGGAGCACACGCGGCACGACACCGTCCCTATGCCTGCATTTCGGTCCCTGCACGGCAACGCAATTGTCCAGCCAATCGTAAAAGTGATCGTAAGGGAGATTGGGAACAGAGAAGTGATCGAAATACAGGGACGCGATCAGACAAATGAGCCACGGATAGGCATGATAACATGCAATACTTGCTCGAGGCAAGCGGGGCAAGCGAAAGCCGCTGAAGGCGCTTCAACGGCCAGCACGCTGTGTTGGACGGAAGAGGAACGCGGCTTATGGCAGTCGGAGAGATTGAGCCAGCCGTCGCGCGAAAGGTCGTGACGTTCAGCCGTCGGGAGAATACGAAGTTATGAAGGCGTAGTGCTGCGTATAGTTACTAGTGCGATCGTTCCACGTACAGCGGACGCTCGTTCCACGTACAGTTTGCACTCGACGCTGGCCTCGTGATTGCAGAACGGGCAGTTGAAAGTCGTCGGGACCTTATGAACCCTCCTCGCCTCGGGCTTCGCGGCCGACTTTCGCTTCCCCATTCGCAGCGACTCGGAGTCGGACGCGCAGGCGACCTGTTAGCGGCGGCACTGGACTAAAACTTCTCAGAATTCTTAAGAACTTACTGAGTCGTCTCAGAGTCACCTACTGGAGTTTGGCACTAGAGTCAGGCAAGGCGAAATAACGGCATTAAAGCAGCCTTGACTCTGTTATATTGAAATAATAATACTCGTAAAGATGAATACAACAAAGAGTACTCGTAGGCTCTGTTACGGGATGCGTAGCTGTCAGGGGCAAGAAAGAAGGCGAATGATTGATGGAAAACGAATTTGAGTGATTCTAACTCACGAGAGGCTGTGCTCTCTTCGCCTTACCTCCAAGCTGTGTCAGAGGTAGGGTAGGGCATTTCTTTTTTGGCCAATCAGACCAGGATACCGGGATTTGCAGTTACAGAATACACTCTGACAAGCTATTTGTTGCAAGCAGCAAAATATTGTTTGGCATGCGTTGTTGTCACAAACAGCCAGCTTCTGCCAGACCTGCATTGGTTCTTTGCCTAAAACTCCCCCTCGCTATAAGGTAGTTCGATTGCCCCCTGAACTGTTGGCAATCCCCAACCCTGATTGGTCGTCTGCTTCACTTCTCTTCCGAAAGGTAGGGTGTACCTGCTTCATGTGCCCAACCAGACTGCCTCTAAAATCTTCGTCCAGACGGAGTTTCCCCCAATGCTGACGGGAATTCTTGACTTTTTGACGGAACCTTGACGCGCGTTTGCATTGTCCACACCAGAACCATCACTCAGCACCGGGATTGACGGCAGCTTCCCGCCAAATCACCTTCACCATTTCGCATGCTGTTCATTTTTGCTTCCACTGATACAACATTCATATTCCTTGCCGTCCTACCAGCACAAATCCAGATATAGTATTTTTAGGTTGACATTAGTCGTGCGAAACTTGTTTGACTGCGCGCTTCGTAAGTAGCATCTGATCACGTCTCGGTGGCTGTAGGTCAGGTGTAACGGTCAGCGCGTCCGTTGCTGACGGTGCGATGAGCGTTCGTGATGTAGATTCGTCGTGACGATCAGTTCGTAGCTGTTCGTCGTCAGCGACGGAAACCGTCAGGTTCCGTCAGTAGCAGCCGGCACGATGCTGGACGTCGCGCCGCTCACGTTCCTCGTGGTCTTCATCGTCTGTACCGTGGGAGCATGGATAGTCTCCAAGTAAGATAATAATTTCATCATCAGCTTCTTAAACAATTTGCAGTCACTTCCGGAAACACCATAAGCTCCAGTCTCGATTCATGCGACACATTGACAGTTCACCGTGTCGTGATAGGAAAGACCGGCGCTCCAGTTGAAACCTGGCGCATTGGACCATCCCATTGATCTTGATGAATGCTTCACGATATATCTTATCAGCCATCGCTCTTCTGCCATCGCCCCGATACTCAGAATACGTTGAACCTTGTTCACTTACGCTGTCAAATCCCTGGGTGCGAATTGTTTTGAACGCAGGTTCTTCACGCAGATCGTGACCCTGGCGATCAAGGTTACCACAGGAAATTCGTTGAGCTTTCGCGTGCTTGGCCTCCTGAAAGTCAAAGACATCCATTGTGCTTTCAAAAAGGTCCGTCTCTTCCCCCTCTTCACTCCCTTCTACCCTCCTTAACTTCACACCCCCCACAAGCACCCTCCGTTCCTGTACGTTCTTGTACGAGCTCTAGAGCACACCTGTGTATCACTGACTCACCTTGTTTCCTGCTATACCCTGTCCGCCTTCTCGCTTTCCCAAGATGCATGCCACATTGTTCAATTTAATGCCATGCATTGTATAACACCACGCATTGTCTAATGCCAGTCCTAATGCCACTTTACTGCAAGAACGTAACTCTCCAGCGTACACGCCATGCCACATTGCTCCTCCTTCCCATGTCTCCCATCCCTCCCCCAACAACAGGGTCTCATACAGAGCGTGACTATACGCGAGGTGAAGAGCCACCTCGTGTGTTTTGAGTCGACTCAAAACACACTCAGAAACTCTCCCATGTCTTCCGTCCCCACCCACAATAACAGGGTCCCATACAGAGCGTGACTATACGCGAGGTGAAGGGCCACCTGGCATCCCTGAGCAGCCTCAAGGTGCACCTGCGCGTCAAGATCAAGGACGTTGACATCGTGCTCCGTCCCTCGGCCCCCCCTCCACCTCCTATTGAGGCGCCTCAAAAGCCCCCCTTCCGCTCCTCGCCCCCCTCCAGCCCCAAAAAGAGGTCTTTCTATTCGAGGTCCCTCACAAATTCTTCCATGCCTCCCCTCCCCCACCACAACAATAGGGTCCCATAGAGAGCGTGACGATACGCGAGGTGAAGGGTCACCTGGCGTCCCTCAGCAGCCTCAAAACACACTCAGAAACCTTCCCATGTCTCCCGTCCCCCGCCCACAACAACAGGGTCCTATACAGAGCGTGACTATACGCGAGGTGAAGGGCCACCTGGCATCCCTGAGCAGCCTGAAGCTGCGCCTGCGCGTCAAGATCAAGGACGTTGACATCGTGCTCCGCCCCTCGCCCCCCTCCACCTCCAAAAAGAAGAAAAAAGCCTCCAAAAACGCCTCCAGCAGCAGCGGATCCTCAGCCAAGGGTCCGACCAGGAAGGCCGGGGCGATTGCCGCCGCCTGGGGCCGGTGGAAGCTGCTGGGAAGCTTCTCCCGGGTGGTTCGGGTGTGCCTGTTTGACGTGTCTGTGCGGTGGGCTCAGGCTCCTGACGTGTGCTTCCAGCTGAGGGAGTTCGACCTGTTCTCCACGGCTGATGCCTCAGGGAAAGGGCAGGTGGCTATGCGATTGGAGCTGCTAGGGATCTCGCTCTCCCATCGCCCCCCTCTTTCTGAGAAGAGCCCTGGGCTCCGATCCAGATCGATGAATTTGTTCAGGATTGGGGGTGGGGGTGGGGAGGAAGGGAGTGGGGAAGAGGAGTGGGATGGTGAGGGAGGAGGGAGGGGAAGAGGGAGTGTGGGAGGAGGAGGAGAGGGGAGTGGGGATGATTCGCTGCCGTTGATGCTGCTGGAGAGCTGGACGACTGACGTGGCACTAGGGTTTGACAGGTCAGCTATGACTGGAACACGTGAGCTTTGATAGAACAGGCCAGACGATTGTGCATTAAACCTGTTCAGCATGCAACCCCCCTTTTCCATTCAACCCCCCTTTCCCTGAATCCCCGTTAACTTCCATCTTGCATGGCCGTTTGCTGCCCCTTCTCCACTCGTTTTAACTCCTTGCCTAAAGTCTAGCTTGCCTTGTGCTCTTCAGCCTTCTCCCCTTCCTCCCCTCTCCTGTGTTCCTTCCTTATTGGCCGCTGCAGCTGCACTGGCCGGAGCTTGAGCTGAACCTTTCGTCCCTCTCACTCTCCTTCTCCCTCTCCCTCCCGACCCTCCCTCTCCTTCTCCATCCATCCTCTCTCCACCTCTCCCAGGGAGGTGGGCATAGCAGTGCGCCTGCTGCAGCTGCAGTGGTCGGAGCTCGAGCTGAACCTCTCCTCCCTCTCCCTCTCCAAACTCTCCATTCCCCCCCCCCCCCAGGGAGGTGGGCATAGCATTGCGCCTGCTGCAGCTGCAGTGGTCGGAGCTCGAGCTGAACCTCTCCTCCCTCTCCCTCTCCAAACTCTCCATTTTCCCTCCCCCCCCAGGGAGGTGGGCATAGCAGTGCGCCTGCTGCAGCTGCAGTGGTCGGAGCTCGAGCTGAACCTCTCCTCCCTCTCCCTCTCCAAACTCTCCATTTTCCCTCCCCCCCCAGGGAGGTGGGCATAGCAGTGCGCCTGCTGCAGCTGCAGTGGTCGGAGCTCGAGCTGAACCTCTCCTCCCTCTCCCTCTCCAAACTCTCCATTTTCCCTCCCCCCCCAGGGAGGTGGGCATAGCAGTGCGGCAGCTACAGCTGCAGTATTCGGAGCTCGAGCTGAACCTCTCGGAGCGCCTGCTCGCCCTGCGCATCGTCAAGCCCCCCAAGCGCCCCCCTGCTTTCCAGCCTCCTGTTCCTGCCGCACCCGTGGCTGCCGTGACAATTCCTGTGCTGGTGAACGAGAGGAAGCGCCCCAACCTCCCAGAAAAGGTATGTTCTTTACCCAGGCTTGGCCTTTGAAGCCCCTTTGCCTGCTGCGCCTGTGGCTGCCACGGCAGTTCCTGTGCTGGTGAACGTTAGGAAGCGCCCCAACCTCCCGGAGAAGGTGCGTTGATGTTTTCTTGCTACTCTCAGGCCAGGGTAGGGCTGTACCTAGGCTCTGAAGCGACTTTTGAGTCGACTCAAAAGTCACCTAGGGCTGTACGTAGGCTTTGAAGCGACTTCTGAGTCGACTCAAAAGTCACCTAGGGCTGTACGTAGGCTTTGAAGCGACTTCTGAGTCGACTCAAAAGTCACCTAGGGCTGTACGTAGGCTTTGAAGCGACTTCTGAGTCGACTCAAAAGTCACCTAGGGCTGTACGTAGGCTTTGAAGCGACTTCTGAGTCGACTCAAAAGTCACCTAGGGCTGTACCTAGGCTTTGAGGCCCCTTTGCATGCCGCGCCCGTGGCTGCCACGGCAGTTCCTGTCCTGGTGAACGAGAGGAAACCTCCCAACCCCACTATCCAGAAAAGGTGTGTTGATGTTTTGTCGCCACCCAAGCTGGGCTTTTGAGCCCCCCTGCTGCTCCCATTGCCCGACCTTGTCCCCCTTCTCCTCCTGTTTGCCCCACACCCCCTGCACCAGGTGCAAGTCACCCTACCGCGCATCATGCTGCGACTGTGGCACCACCGCTGCGGCCTCTTGCTGCACAGCAGCTGCGGCCCCATCACCCTCTCCTCCACACCCCCCCTGCCCTGAATGCTCTCCCTCCCCCACCTCCCCCCCCCCCCCCCCCCCCCCCCCCCCCCCCCGCCTGCACCAGGTGCAAGTCACCCTACCTCGCATCATGCTGCGTCTCTGGCACCACCGCTGCGGCCTCTTACTGCTGCACAGCAGCTGCGGCCCCATCAACCTCTCCTCCACAACCCCCCCCCCCCCCCCCCCCCTTTTTGCACCAGGTGCAAGTCACCCTACCGCGCATCATGCTGCGTCTCTGGCACCACCGCTGTGGCCTCTTGCTGCGCAGCAGCTGCGGCCCCATCAACCTCTCCTCCTCACTCTCCCGCCCGGCGCCTGATCTCTCAGTCATCGAGGCTGATTTCAGTATCGGCATCGTGGAGGTGAGTGAGTGAGTGAGCGAGTGAGTGAGTGAGCTGATAGGGGAGATTCATTCAGGCGCTGCAGGAACATCGGTCCATGACCCTCTCCCCCACGCTCTCCCGACCAGCGCCCGATCTTTCAGTTATCGAGGCTGATTCCAGTATAGGCATTGTGGAGGTGAGTCAGCTATTGGGGGTGCTGATGGCACTGAGACAATTTTCTATGAGCCGATTTGTCGTTCCCCCGTCACCTCGCCTCTCCTGATCGCCCCTCCCCTCTCCCACTCGCTCCCCTTCTCCCACTCATTCCTCTCTTCTTCTACTCATTCGTCAATCTTCCTCTCTCCTGAAGCACCTTACCCCTCCTTGTTCGATTTCCCATTTCCCCTACTTCCCCCTTCCGTTGTCTTCCCCAAATCTGTCAATCGCCGTTGAGAAGTCTCAGAAGCTACTCCCCATCCCATCCCCCCCACCTCTTCCCTCCCCTCCCCTTTTGTTGTCTTTCTGTCACCCGTCTCCCCAGGTATTGAAGAGTGCGGAGGGCAGTGCTCTGTCTGTCACACGTGTATCTTCATCAGCATGCCTCTCCTTCCCACACTATGTGAGTCAGCCTGCCTCTTTCCCGCACTGAGTAAAACCTGCCTTTCCATTCTGCACTATGCCAGTTTACCTTGCCCACATTCCGTTGCTGTCTTCACCCGCTCTCCCCCACACGTTGTGTTTTTAGCTCTCCACCCGCCCTTACTCTGGCCTTGTGGATGGCTCTCCTTCACGTCCCTTCCTCAACCACTTTCATTTGAGCCGCTCCGCACCCACCTTCTTTTCCCTTCCCATGCATGGCTCTCCATTACTTCCCTTTATCACCACTTCCAACTGCTCGCACCTCCATTCTTCTCCACTATCTCCCCCTCTCTCAGACGGCAGAGGCAGTGTGGGCAGAGGTGCACGTGACGTGACCCTCTCAGCCGTGGACTGGCGGGTGTTTTCGCCTCTCTCGCCCCGTGCATGCCTCATCCTTTCCAACCGCTCTGCAAACCCTTTTCCCCCACTCGCAGACGGCAGAGGCAGTGCGGGCAGAGGTGGACGTGACCCTCTCAGCCGTGGACTGGCGGGTGTTCCCCGCCACTCTCGCCCCGTGGGTGGCAGCAGCACTGGAGGAGATGCGCAGGAAGAAAGCAGCAGCACTCAGGCGCCAGCACCTGCAGCTGCAGCAGGAGGTGCTGGAGCAGCAACAGCAGCAGCAGCAGGGGTATTTGGAAGGGATTCTGTCGCCTCGTGCCAAGGCCAGAGGCGCATCCCGAAAAGCTGATTCACCGCTAGGCAAGAGTGCAGTGGCAGCAGGAGAAGCAGGAGGTGGAGTAGGAGGGGGAGCAGGGGCACCAGGAGCAGCAGCAGCAGAGGCAGCAGCAGTGGTGGCGGTTCCGAAGCCAAAGAAGCCAAAGCGGCCGTTCAGGCTAGAGGCAGTGGTGGGAGCAGTGGGAGCAAAGGTCACAGTACACGATTACGACGGTACCCCTCTCTATAAGGCCTCTGCTGCCAAGTTCCACCTCTTTCTCTCCAAATCCACTGGCTCCCCCCCTGCTGCTGCTGCTGCTTCGCGTGCCTCTACTGCTTCGACCCCAATGGGGCCCGTTTCGCCTGGTTCTGCAGCTGCTGGTGCTGGTGGTGGAAAGGCAGGGTGGGGCCGCAGCAAGGGTGGGCGGTACTCGTTCCTGAGCCGGTCTGGGAGTGTTCTGGGAGGAGCAGCAGGAGGAGGAGGAGACGGAGCAGCAGCAGCGGTCAGCAGTCCTGGGGTTTCCAGGACTAGCAGCAGGGCGGAAGCAGCAGCAGCTAGGACGGGTTTTAGCAGGTCTACCAGCTGCTTTGCTGCCAGTCCCACTGGTGGTGCTGGTGGCGCTATCCCTGGTGGCGGTGGCTTTGGAAGAGCTTCTGGCTCCGCCTTCCCTTCCTCGTCCTCCGTCCCCCATGCCTCCTCTCCTGCTGCTGCTGCTGCTGCCGCCGCCGCCGCTGCTGCTGGGCCTGGCACTGCTGCTGGTGGTGGTGAGAGTGTGTTGGAGGTTCAGGTGGAATATTCAGGCGTGCAGGTGGCAAGGCTGCCCAGAGAAGAGGACTTTGCCAGGCTTGCTGAGACACACGGTGCTGCCGGTGCTGCCGGTGCTGCCGGTGCTGCTGCTCCTGCTGCTCCTGCCGCTGCTGCTGCGGGTGCTTCTGCTTCTGCTGCTGCTGTGCCTCGGGAGCAGGTGTTTATTCAGGTGTCGCGCCTGGGAGTAGAGTGGGGCCCTGGGATCCCCGACAACTGGGAAGAGCTTGGGGATTCGTCAGGAGGGAAGGGAGGGGGAGGAGGGAAAGGGGACTTAGGAGGAGCAGAAGAAGGATCAGGAGGAGGAATTGGAGTAGCAGGGAGGGTAAGTTCCCCTGGTGGTGGCTCGGGTGGGGGTGCATACAGGGAGGTTGGTGGAGGGGCGAATGGGGGGACGGGGGGAGGGGGGATACTAGATAAGGTGATGATGGTGCAAGTGGGGGTGCGGGGACTCAGGCTGCGCCCCTCCTTCCCCCTCCTGGGATCGATTGCAGAGGAAGTCACTCGAGCAGAGCAGTTTGTGAAAAGGGAGAAGAAGAGAGGCGCTGGCACAGTAGGTGCTGCTGCGGGTGGGGCTGCTGACGCGACTGCTGCTGGTAAAGAGTCAGGCAAAGGGAAGAGCAAGAGCAAGAGCAAGGGCAAGGGTAAGGGCAAAGGTGTGAAGGCGTTTCGTATAGTCCTGGACGATTCTCTTCTGGAGCTGGAATGCCCGTGCACGGTGGTTGAAGCGGACGTGCTAGACCCTAAGAAAGTGCATTTCGGGGATGAGCTGGGGGAGAGAATTTTCCACCTCACCCCTGAGGGAGACCTGAGGGTGGCGAGGGTGAGGAGGTTTGAGTGGGAGGGGGCGGAGCATGCCTCTGTGGTGTGTGCATTGCGGGTGGAGCTGCCTTCGGTGTCGGTTGGAGGGAGAGTGGGGGGGAAGCAGGTGCAGGTTGGGGTGGAAGGGGCGAGAGTGGTGTATGTGGAGAAAGGGGAGGGCGGGGAGGTGGGGAGTGCGGTGCGGAGCGGTGGAGCTGGGTGCGGGAAGGGGGGTTTGGAAGGGAAGGGAGGGGAGGAGAAGAGGGTGGGGAGGGAAGGTGGGAAGAGGCAGGATGGGGTGATAGCAGAGGTGGTGGTTTGTCGGTTACAAATGGCCCACGTGTTGCTTCGGAAAGGGCTGCTAGGTCCGGACGGAGGTCCGGCGCCGGACCGAGTGGTGGTTACCGCAGCTGGGCTGGAGGCTCGGTGGGAGCCGGACGTACAGGTGCTGGTGGTGGAGGTAGGGGAGGAGATGAAGGAGGTGACTGGTCGGAGAAAGGCTGTTATAGAGCAATGGCGGGCGATGGCAGAGAGAGAAGGGGAGACGGAGCAGGCACGGGTGAATCAGCAGCAGGCAGAGCAGAAGGCAGAGCAGGAGACGCAGCAACGGATGGCGCAGGAGCAGAAGGGAGGGAAGGGAGAGGGAGCGGGTGCAGGGAAGCTAGTCACATCAGGGGGCAGTCTGGACGCGAGTCTGCTCGGGAGGGAGGGTGGGAACCTGCTAGGTGCAGCAGCAGCAGCAGCAGCAGCAGCAGCAGCAGCAGCAGCAGCAGCAGCAGCAGCCGGCATCAGCAGCAGCAACAGCAACACACCCAGGGCCAGCAGTAACAGCATGGGAGCATCTTTGCCGCCGATAGCACCCAGTGGTGGAGAGGGCAGCAGGCGCTCTGTGGGGGTTGCCAAGTCCGCTGCTGGGGTGCTGGAGGGCGGTGTAGCAGGGTTGGGAGCGGCTGGGAGCGGTGCCGGGGGTGGTGCCGGCGGTGGTATCTGGCGCAGGAACAGTGACAGCGGCGTTGGTGCTGCCACGTCAGCAGCCGGCAGTGGCGCTGCCAGCTGGCAGCAGTGGATGCCGGGAGGACACGTGGCAGGAGCACCATCATTTGCAGCATCAGATAATGCTTCTGCAGCAGCAGCGGCGGCTGTGGCAGCAGCTGCAGCTGGTGATTCCACAGCCCCGGCAAACCCGAGCAAGCCCGTGAAGGCGAAGAAGCCAAAGCCAATAGTTGTGGTGGATGTGACGGGGGTGGTGGTGACGGTGGGGATAGGCGACGAGACAGAGATGCGCGTGGAGGCCAGGGGGCTTTTCTCTGAGGACGCGGCCATGGGGGCGCTTCTGGAGGGGCTGGCGTTGCGCATCAACGGAGCCGCTATGCTCTTCAGCGAGTCATTCCAGGTGAGTCGTTCGTCTGAGGCGCCTCAGTGGTAGTGACAGACAGGGGACGAGACAGAGATGCGGGTGGAGGCCAAGGGGCTCTTCTCAGAGGACGCTGCCCTGGGGGCTCGTCTAGAGGGGCTGGCGTTGCGGACTAATGGGGCTGCCATGTTCTTCAGCGAGTTTTAGGTGAGTCGTTCGTCTGAGGCGCCTCAAGGATTGTATGGATAGGCGACAAGACAGAGATGTGTGTGGAGGCCAGGGTAATGTTCTCTGAAGACATTATATGTGTCAATCCAGCTGTTGCCCCCCCCATCCTTTCCCACTCCCCCACTCCCCGCCCTCAGCCTCCCGCCAGGTTTCTCGTGTGCCGAGTGGTGGTGGCTCCTCCCTCCGCCCCTTCCCACAGCCAGGAGCGATCGCAGCAACAGTGTGGGATTACGTCAACCAGGCGAGCTCGTCGCGCTTCATCCTGCCTCCTCCCCTTCCTTCCCCTCTCCTCCCCGCCCTCCGCCCAGGTCTCTCGTGTGCCGAGTGCAACGCCAGTGGTGGTTGCGCTTCCCGCCGCCCCTCTACTACAGCCAGGAGAGAGCGCACCCACAGTGTGGGACTACGTCATCCAGGCGAGCTCATCGCGCTTCATCCTGCCGTTGCAGTTTGAGGTGTGGGCCGTGGAGGACAGTGCAGAGGACATGATGCGCGTGCTCAAGGCCTCCCCTCCCCTCCAATCCCCTCCCCGCCCTCCCCCCAGGTTTCTCGAGTGCCCAGCGCAACCCCAGTGGTGGTGGCTCCCCCCTCTGCCCCCCCACCACAGCCAGAGGAAGGCGCTTCTGCCTCTGGTGGTGGTACCGTGTGGGACTATGTGATCCAGGCGAGCTCAGCGCGCTTCATCCTGCCGTTCCAGTTTGAGGTGCGGGCCGTGGAGGACAGTGCAGAGGACATGATGCGCGTGCTCAAGGCTGTCACTGCCGCCCAGAAGATGGCTCGACAGGCCCGCCGCTTGCGCCAGGGGAGAGCTGCTGCTGCTGCTGGTTCAGGCCCGGCAGCAGCAGTGGCCGATTCAGCAGCCCCGGCTGCTGCAACAGCTGCAGCTGCCGCCGCCACTGCTGCTGCTGCTGCTGGGTCAGGCCCGGCAGCAGCAGTGGGCGATCCAGCCGCCCTGGCCGCCGCAACAGCTGCAGCCGCCACAGCAGCAGAGGCAGAGGGCGTCCTTCCCCCCACCATCCCCTCCTCCTCTTCCGCCCCCAAGCCCAAGAAGCCCCCTGCGCGTCAGAAAGGCCTCATACGCCTTATAGTGAAGGAGCTGCTTTTAGAGGTGGAGGAGGAGCCGATTCAAGGGTGGTTGGATGAGAGGAGACAGCTGATGAGATCGCTGGTGGAAGATAAGTTGGTGAGGGAGAGATTGCTGGAGGAAGAGGAGGAGAATCTCATGGGCGGGGATATTTTTCCCGCTGGCTTGGAGGGGCTTGTTGGGGAGGTAGCAGGGGGGGGGGATGGGGAGAAGTCTCCTCAGGATGTGAGAGGAGGAGTGGGAGGAGCAGGGGGGAAAGGGGTGAGTCCGCAAGTGTTGGCAGCAGCAGCGGCTGCAGCAGAAGCTGTTGGGGCTACGCAGGTGACGGGTGAAACGAAGGGAACTGCGGTCAGGTTGAAACTTTTCCGGGAACGTTTCCAGGCTGCCCGGGAGGATCTGCACCGGCGGGCATCCCTGGCGTACAAAGCAGCGTGCGAAAACCTTGTGAAGGATCCGGGCACGGGCTGGGCGTATAAAATCGGGCTGAATGAAAAGTTTCCGATGACCACCACCCGAAGAAGCGCTGCTAGCTTGTGGTTCGCGTTTGCAGAGCTGGCTCTGATACCAATAGAGCACGGCCGGCAAGGCATGGTGGCTAAAATCCGTGAGCTAGACACGGTTCCTGCTTCCGATAAGGTCCCCATTGCTAGGATGTACGGGCGGGCAGTGGAGCTTTCGTGTGTGGGGCTGAAATTCTCTCTGAGGGATTTCCCGCTACCGCTGTTTGCGGCGGCTTCCGGGAAGCTTCGTGCAACGGCGATCATGGCAGCCCAGGCCACGGTGCACCAGCCGCAGCAGAAGTCCGACGTGTTTCTCGGAAGGTTCCGCCGGGTGAAGGTGCTGCGAACGGCCAGTGGCGCCACGCCTCCGTTGAAATTCTATTATGAAGCCGAGGCGGAGTTTGAATCGGCTGATCTGTCGTACGGGGTGGGGTATGAACCCATGCTGTTCGCCGACGTGAGTCACGCGGTAACGTGCGCTGTGAGGAAGGGGCAGCCGACGACGAGGCAGGGGAAGGTGATTGCGGCGGCAGCGGCGGCGGCAGCAGCAGCTGGGGTACCCTATCCTCCGGTGCAAAACACCCTCTCGGTGCCTGCTCTTGCAGCTGCGGCGGATCCTGCTGCGGCTCCTCCTGTGTGGCCGCCTGTGGAGAGAAGCTTGCCGTGGTGGGACATTATGAGGTACTACATGCATGGGCATGCGCAGCTCGTAGCGCTTGACTATCAGGTGTTTCTTCAGGCTACTGTGGATCCGTACGAGCAGAACGACATGCTCACGCTGGTGGGGTCTCGGCTCGTGTTTTCGCAGAAGAAAGGGCAGATGTTTGTGCGAGGGGAGGATTTAGAAGCGCACATGTCGAGCGTTCCGGAGGATCCGTTAAGGAAGGCTGACGCGTGGGTGAGAGAGGGGGGATCGGGCGGGATCGGGAGGGGGACAGGCGGTGGGGGCGAGGGCGGGCGGTGGGAGGGAGACGAGTTCCTCCGAGCACCTGCTATAGAGACGCCGGTTCTGGAGCTGGATATTCGGATAGACTGGGAGGTGGAGGGGAATGGGGACGCGTGTGCACATTATTTGCACGCGCTGCCGACAGAACCAGGCATGCGGAAGGTTTTGTATGATCCGTTTAGGTCTGTGGGGATGAACTTTCGCTGGGACTGGCGGTTTTTGTCTAAGGAGCAGGCGAGGGTGATTCACAGCAAAGGGGAGAAGAAAGAGAAGAGCAGTGTGGGTGGCGGTGGGGTGAGGGTGGGTCGGAACAGCAGTGCCGTTGATCTCCGAGTTGGTGGCCCCACTGCTGCTGCTGCTGGCGCTGCTAGTGTTGGCAGCGATGCTGCTGCGGCTGCTGCTACTGCTGCGGGTGCATCTGGTGTTTTAGGCAGGCACGCACATGGATCACCAGCAGGACCAGCCATACCGCGCTCCACCTCTCTGTCTTCTGCTTCGTTCTCCCGGGCCTCCTCCTCCTCCCACCGCTTCCCCGACGACGAAGATTTCTTCTCGGGCAGCTCAACTGCCCACCGATCGGCGTCCAGCACCAGCGGCGGGTCGTTCTCGTCCGTTGGATTCGAACCCGGGGCTGAGTCAGCCTCAGGAGCGGGTTTGAGTGCAAGTGGGCGTTTGCATTCGCAGAGACACAGGAGAACGTCGTCAGGCAGTATGCCTTGGCATGTGGAAGCGGGGAATTGGGAAGGCGGAGGAGAAGGAGGGGGAGGAGGAGGTGGGGGTGCAGGTGCTGCCGTGGCTGGCGGTTTTGACAGCCCACGCATCGGAGGAGGAGGAATCGGAGGAAGCGGAGGAAGCGGAGGAATCGGAGGAAGCGGAGGGATTGGGGGAGGGTTTGAGGTTGCTGGTGGGGGTGTCCGTCAGCCAACGTTCAACCTGGCAAGCCACGACATCAAGTGGCTGTTCAAATTCTACAACCTCATGTATCTCTCCTCCCACAAGCTCCGGAACTTCGGCCGCCGCCGCTACGGCATCGCGAGGAAGGCCAAATCCGGGAACCTGAACCTCAGCCAGGTGATGTCTGAGATGCTGATCCGCCTGCACATTGCCCCGGGCGCGTGGCGGCATTATTCGTTCCGGAACCCGGACCCGGCGGAGGGGTTGGTGTTGCTGGTGGATGAGTTGGTGTATGAGTTGTGCTACAGCCGGAATTTGAAGGCGTGGGATGGGAAGACGAGAAGGCCGAGTTTTAAGACGGCTCATACGGGGCTGGATGTTGTGCGGATGAGGATTGTGGTGGAAGAGCCGGGGAGTGGGGAGGGGGAAGGGGATGGGCAGGAGGGTGGGAGTGGAGGGATGGAGGGGGGTGGAGGAGGGGGAGGGGGAGTGGGGAGAGGGGGTGTTGGTGGGACGAGTGGGCGGGTTTTGGAAGGGGATGAAGCTTCTGAGAAGATTCTGGAGTTGTTGATGGGGGAGGACGAGGTGGGGGGAGGGGGAAGGGAGGGGGTGTTGGGAGGGGTGGCGGGGAGGGGCCTATCGAGGAAAGGGCTGGTTACCAGACGAAGCACTGGAGGCAGCAGCTTCGGATGGGGCGGAGGAGAAGGATTGGGAGGGGTACTGGGAGAGGAAGCAGGCGGGGGGAGGGGCACAGGGGCAGCAGGATTCAGGAGCGGCAGCAGCGTGGGGGGCGGGACGGTGGGGGAAGGATGGACGAAGGCTGATCAGAGCTTCTTGATGTCATGTGATGGGGTTATGATCCGCAAGCAAGCGCCTGACGGGAATGCGGAGCAGATTCAGAAGTGGCGCGTGGGGGAGGGGTGGAAGGGTTGGCTCATGGGGGCTGCAGGAGGAGGCGGGGAGGGGAGCAGCAGAGGGGGGTTGAGCAGGAGTAAGAAAGGGAGCAGCAGCCGTATCAGCGATTTTGCAGCGGAGGAGGAGGAGGGCTCGGAGAGTGACGGGGACGAGGGGGAGGAGGAGGATGAGGAGGAGGGGGGCGGGGAGGGGGAGGAAGAGGGGGAGGCGGAGCAGGATCTAGCTGACATTCTTGCTTTACTAGTAGCAGACGATTGTTGGAGGATCCTGGTTCCGGGGCTGAGGCTCCTCCTCACCATCCGCAACCGAGACGCTCTGTGGGCGTGGATGGCGGAGTTCCAGCGCGGATTCGCGTCAGACAAGCCGTCCCCGTCGCGCCAGCTGGCGCAACGCAAGAGGCTGGAGGCGGCGGGGGGGGTGCCGCCGCCGGTGGTGGGGGCGGCGCTGGTGGCGGCGCAAGTGGCGGCGCAGATCGCTGCGGAGAAGGCGGAAAAGGAGGCGGCAAAGGCTGCTGCTGCTGCTGCTGAGGCTGCGGCGGGAGCGGCGCAAGCGCAAGCCAAGGCAGCAGGAGAGGGGGGGGGAGTGGCGGAGGTGGGACAGGCGGGAGCGGGAGGTGGTGTGGTTGGTGGTGGTGCTTCTGGTGGTGATGGTGAGGGTGGAGGGGGAAGGGGAGGGATGGGGGATGGGGCGGCGGGTATGGGGATGGGGGGAGAGGAGGATAACTGCACGTTGAACTACATGATCAACATCATTCGGCCGCAGTTCAACTTTCACTCTGAAGATGCGCATGTGAGTATGATCTTCTGAAATTCGCGTGTATTGAGTTGAGTTAAAAGGTGTATTTGGAGGCGACTTGGTCAGGATACAGGACGATAATCGCACGTTGAACTACATGATCAGCATCATTCGGCCTCAGTTCAACTTCCACTCTGAAGATGCACATGTGAGTGTGATATTGTGAAATAATGGTGAGTGAGCTGAGCCGTGTATTGAGTCGAGTGAAAGGGTGTATTTTGGATCGACTCAGTCAGGATACACAAGGAGAATTGCACGTTGAACAAGATTATCAGAATTATTCATTACCCGCAGTTCAACTTCCACTCTCAAGACGTGCACGAGAGTTATAGTCAGAAAAATGGTCATGCAGTATGCATATATGAGTTATAGATTGAAAAATGGTCATTGCAGTCTATGTTGGAAAAAACGCGTATTGCGTTTTTCACGCAAGCGTTTTTTCCAGAGAGTATATACGAGAAACGCGAGAATATGAGAGGCATATACGCAGCAAAAACGCAGGTCCGGGCAGGGGTAAAAAAGTTTCGGGGCAGCGAAAAAACCATGTTTAGGGGGGGGGGGGGTAAAAAAAAAAACTCCCATCACATTTTATTAATACGCCTACTACAAAAGAAAATGACCGACTAGACATTCCATGTTAGCATCACTACCTCTTTCCCTCTCCCTACAGGACACTATTCTCATACTACTACATAGTGCATCCTACACCCCCCCCCCGCCCCTTGTTGCATTGCACCTACTACACATCAAGGTACTTCCACCTCCCCCACGGCAGGAAAGCAAGCACTTCTCAAATTGAGGACTACTCATACTCATCGTTCATGATGACATCCTCCCCCTGGTCCGCCTCCTCCTCCCACCCCTCTTCTGCCACCTTGTACCCCTCGGGAAGGGGAGGGGCCTCAATGTTGCCCGTGACCACCCCCTGGCCCTCCGGGACGGTGTACCAGTTGTGCACAACTTTCCAGTTGTGCGCAACGTACACCAAATCCCGGCACTTTTCAGAGCCAAGGCGGTTGCGCTTGGCGGTGTACAACCCGTCCCACACCGCCCAATTCCGCTCGCACGACGAGGCGGACACGGGCTGCGTGAGCGAGCGGCATGCGAGCGTCGCCAGGTGAGGGTAGTCCGTCACGTGCCACTCCCACCACTGGAGAGCAGTGTGGGTCCCTGCTTTCACAGCTTCGCGATCAGCAATCGCTGCAGGCATGCCGAAACTCCCCTCCAGGTTCAGGAATGCCGTGAGCCCTTCCTGCAAGACAAGGGAGGCACGACGCTCTTCACCATCCTTGCTTGTGATGGTGACATCGTCGTAGTGCTTGGAGATGTAGGCTTTCAGAACACGGGTGCACTCCACGTCGTTGCGGAAAATGCCCTCCTCCTGGTTGGCCGGGTTTAAAATTCGGCCAACCACATGCATGGGGCATGCCAAACCCTCATCCCACCTTGCCTTCACAATCTTCCTGATCTCCCCCATCTCCCCCCGCGTCAGGAACTCGTCGCCCTTCGCCTCGAGGATGTCGTGCACATCCTCGGTGAGCTGCAGCATCAAGTCGTAAAGCCGCCCCATCATCCCTTTGGCGGTGCCGTCCGTGGCGCACATCACCTTGAAGGGAGCCTCCATCAGCACCGTGAAGAATTCGGCCACCTTCCACCATTCCGAGTCGAGGATGTACCCGTGAAACACCTCCGCGCTCGCCCTCCTTCCCCCTGTCGCCCAAGGCCGCCATTCCTCGCTCAAGACCATCTGCAGCAGAGACATGCGGAGCTCGACCAGGCGTGAGACCGCGATGAACTGGGTCCCGAAGCGGGTCCCCGCAGGCTTGAGAACCTGCTTGCCTTTGCCGTCGTTGACGAGGGGGCTCCGCAAGTAGCCACGCGTGAAGTGGTGGCTACGAACGAAGTTTTTGATCTCGGCCGCCCGCGTGACCACCACCCTCGCCCAATTCATCTTCCCAATGTCCTCCATGAGGAGATCGAGGACATGGGTCGCGCACGGGACTTGTTCGAGGTGTGGGAACTCCACCATGAGTTCCCGGCATGCCGCAGCGTAGTTCGAGCCTCCATCCATGCAGAGTGCCACCACGTTCTCGGCTCCCACCTTTTGAATGATCGGCCTCAACATCCCCGCAATGTAGCCGCCTGTTTTCACCTCCATCTGTGTGTCGACCGCTTCGGTGAAGACGGCGCCGCTGTCGTTTATGAGCAGCACGTTTGCTTGTGGGCGGCCCGAGGCGTCGGTCATCATGTCTGAAGCGATGGTGACGCCGTTACGGCGCCAGCTTGCGGCGATCGGCGCAAGAGCGACCTCGATGCGTTGCCGGCAGTTTCGGAGGCCGGCTCCTCCGATGAAGCGTCGCTTCGGTGGCGTGTATGAACCACCCGCGCGTGCGATGCAGGAAACCGCGTTGCGCCACAGTGGGTGGTCTGCATGATGCTCGGGAAGACGGAGGGCCGCGAAGAGAAGGCAAATTGAGTCATCCGCCTCCTTCTTAGCGCACGTAGATTCATCGCCGTAGAAGTCCGTCATGCGACTCTTTTTTGGCGCGCCCGCAGAGTTGGAAACCGCGGCAACAGCGGATCGCTCCGCCGATCGCTTGTTGTCGCGGGCCTTCTGCTTGTCCTCGTAAACCGCCTTGACGCCATCACGCGCCGACTTCGGCGCGTCGGAGCACAAGCGCACTTCACGACGCCGCATGCCGTTCCAGCCGGTGATGTGCTGGGCGCACCGGTACATCCCGCCGTTGAACTTGAATGCACAATAAGCGCATACCTTGGACGCGGTGAGGGCGTTATCCACACCCACAGCAACCTTGAAGTGCTTGAACACGGCGTGGTCACTGTCCATGATGTACAGGGGAGTGCTCTCGCACTCGACGGAACTACCACGAGGAGCTGAAGTCGGGTTGCTGGGAGGAGTCATTTCTGCAACGGAAGCCATGCTTCCAAAACGCTAGAACAACTACTAATCTGAGAGAGGAATGATTGACGAGTGAAGGAACGCCTTCATTTATGCCTGGAAAGAAGAGGTTGGGGGATGAACTGCCAGACATCATTTGGTTGGAAGGGGTTGGAAGTGAATGCGGTGAAGTGGGTTGTGCAGGGGTGTAACATTTGTGGGGTCGCGACTCGGGGAGCACGAAATCGAAATTGGTGAGCAAGTAACTCGATTTTGGCCCGCACGTAATTCGATTTCGCGATACGCAGAAAACGACCAGAATACGCACCTTTTTTTTTTTAGGTCTGCCCGTGCGGATTTTTGCGTTTCTACACCAAAAACGCAGCGTACGCGTTTTTGGTGCGTTTATACTCAAAACGCAACTGAACTTTAGCGTTTTTTCCAACATAGATTGCAGTATGCATATATGAGTTATAGATTGAAAAATGGTCATTGCAGTATCCCAATAAGGCTGGCCCCGTACTCGATTGCATCTCCCACCTTCCCACAAGACTTACACCACTTCATTTTTTTCCCCTCTTTCTCTTCTCATCTCCTCCCTCCAGGGTTGCTTCCTCCTCACTGCCAAGAGTGGCCGCATGTTTGCGTGCACCTTCCACTCAGTCTTCACAGACTCATTTCCCTTCACCTCCCCCCCGCTCCTCTCCCAATCCACTTGCTTCCTCCTCACTGCCAAGAGCAGCCGTGTGCTCGCGTGCACCTCCCACTCACTCTTCACAGACTCATACCCGCTGGCTTTCCTCCCTTTTCTATCTCCCCTCATCTTCCCCCCACCTCTACACCCACATCCCAGGGTCGTTTCCTCCTTGCTGCCAAGAGCGGGCGTGTGCTCGCTCGCACCTTCCACTCAGTCTTCACGGACTCATACCCGCTGATTTTCCTCCCTTTCTATCTTTCTTCATCTTTCCCTCCCTCTCCCTGCACCCCGCCAATAGGGTCGCTTCCTCCTGGCTGCCAAGAGCGGCCGTGTGCTCGCCCGCACCTTCCACTCAGTCTTTGCCGGGGCCATCGAGGCCCTTGCTGCCATCACTCCCCCTCCCCCTCCTCCTCCTCCTCCCTCCTCCTCCATCTCCTCCGCTCCTCCTACTCTTTCCAGCACCGGCACCCCTCCCTCCACCGTCCCTCCTTCCCCCTCCTCCGCCTCCCATGCTTCTACCTCGTCCTCCTCCGCCCCTCCTCTCTCCGCCCTTAGTATTTCAGACTCCACTCCTCTTGTACCTGGCTCAGTGGCAGCAGGAACAGCAGGAGCAGCAGCAGTGCCAGTGGCAGCACAAGCAGGAGGAGCAGGGGACAGCACAGGGGCAGGAGTAGCGGCAGGGATAGGAGGAGGAGGAGCAGAAGGAGTGGTATTGGCAGGAGGAGCTTCAGCAGTAGCCGGAGCAGCAGCAGCAACGCCAGCAGCAGCAGCAGCAGCAGCAGCAGCAGCATCTCTCGCCCCTCCTCCACCGCACACATCTGACATCATGCCAGGGTTTGGTGATGACCTGGACACGATCCAGTGGAACCGGCACGAGCTGGCAGTCATGCTGGAGAACGTGCAGGCCTACGTGGCACCCACTGACGTGGACCTGACAGCTGGCGTGCAGTGGTTGGCTCATGTGCCCATGGGGGCGGGGAGGAGGGGGGGAGGGAGGGGTGGGAAGGGGAGGAGGCGGGGTGGGGGGATGGTTGGGAGGGGATCGGAAGGAAATCTTGCTAGTGGGAGTGCTGCTGGTGGTGACAGTGGTGGGAATGGGGATGGTGATGATGCTGGTGCTGGGCCGAGCGGAGTGCTGATGCTGGGAAGAGGGGCTGCTAGTAATGGGGATATGGAGGGAAGTCACCTACTGAAGCAGGTGTTTCAACCTTGCACCATGTACCTGGAGTATACGCGATACAAGAGCGGGTCTCAGGGTGCCCAGGTGAGGAACACGCAGTGATGAGCACAACAAACCCCCTTGCACTTCCACCCCCTTGCACCATGTACCTGGAGTATACGCGATACAAGAGTGGGTCTCAGGGTGCCCAGGTGAGGAACACATGATGATCACAGAACACCATGCACCATGCACCATGCACCATGCACCATGCACCATGCACCATGCACCATGCACCATGCACCATGCACCTGCACCATGCACCATGCACCATGCACCATGCACCATGCACCATGCACCATGCACCTGCACCATGCACCATGCACCATGCACCATGCACCATGCACCATGCACCATGCACCACGCACCATGCACCATGCACCTGCAATATATCCACTTTCCCTCTGAATCCTTTCCTTAGCCCTGAAGGACGTGACTATCAGCTACACGGCCATCGTGACACTCTCTTCCCGTTTTACCCTTTCATCCATTGCAGAAGAAGCCGCTGAAGGAAGTGAGTTTCAGTGTGCCCAACGTCACATCACAGCCACCGTGACCTCCCAATCACCTTGTGTGTGTGCTTGCTTGCCCCCTTCCCCTATCACCCATTGCAGAAGAAGCCGCTAAAGGAAGTGAGTTTCAGTGTGCCCAACGTCACATCACAGCCACCGTGACCTCCCAATCACCTTGTGTGTGTGCTTGCTTGCCCCCTTCCCCTATCACCCATTGCAGAAGAAGCCGCTAAAGGAAGTGAGTTTCAGTGTGCCCAACAGCACATCACAGCCACCGTGACCTCCCAATCACCTTGTGTGTGTGCTTGCTTGCCCCCTTCCCCTATCACCCATTGCAGAAGAAGCCGCTAAAGGAAGTGAGTTTCAGTGTGCCCAACAGCACATCACAGCCACCGTGACCTCCCAATCACCTTGTGTGTGTGCTTGCTTGCCCCCTTCCCCTATCACCCATTGCAGAAGAAGCCGCTAAAGGAAGTGAGTTTCAGTGTGCCCAACATCACAGCCACCATGACCTCCCAGCAGTTCCAAACACTCACCGATATCATCATGAACCTCGCTCTTGCGCCCACGCCCAAGTGAGTTGTAGCACTTACATATGCGATTTATAAGCAAGCAGCAACAATGTGGCATGCCATCACTGCTTTCACTTCCACACCCTCACCGACCTCATCATACACCTCGCCCTTGCGCCCACGCCCCAAGTGAGTTGCTTGCACCACTCACGTGATGCGCCGTATAAGCAAGCAACAGCTCAGGACGTGTTCACTCCTCTCACTTCCAGACCCTTACCAACATCATCATCATGCATTTCCCAATCTAACTTCAAGTAAGTAACAGTACTCGGAGTTCCCGAGGTGAGAGCAGAGGTGGCTCAGCGGGCAGTCAACGCCCTCATCCAGGACCTCTGGGGGAGGAGAGGAGTGCGAGTCTTGACCCTCGTGCTCCCTCTATTCACATGCACACACTCACTTCTCCTCTCCTCCCGGAACCCCCTCACTCCCCCCTCTTCCCCTTCCTGTATCCTGGTTGAAGAAACCAAAAGTGCGTCCTGGTGCAGACAAGGATGAAGAAAAGGAGGAGTACGGATCCCGGGCCGATGGAGTTCCCAAGGTGGGGGCGGCAGAGGTGAAAGCAGAGGTGGCACAACGGGCAGTCAACGCCCTCATCCAGGACCTCTGGAGGACGAGAGGAGTGCAGGTCTTGACCCTCGAGTTTCCTCCCTTCACATGCACGCACTCACTTAACCTCCCCGGACCCCCTCCCCTCCCCCTTCTCTTTCTCTCTCCCCTTCCCACCCCCCTCCCGCTTGAATTCAGGTTGAAGAAACCGAAGGTACGGCCAGACGCAGACGAGGAGGAGGAGGAAGAGGAAGATACGGATCTCGGCCTGACGAAGTTCCCGAGGTGGAGGCGGCAGAGGTGAAGGCGGAGGTGGCGCAGCGGGCAGTCAACGCCCTCATCCAGGACCTCTGGAGCACCGTGGCACAGGACTTGACCCTCGGGTTTCCTCCCTTTCCATGCGCTTCCCTCCCCCCCATCCCGCCGCCATTCAGGTTGAAGAAGCCAAAGGTGCGGCCCGATGCAGACGAGGAAGAGGAGGAAGAGGAGGAGTACGGATCCCGACCAGACGGAGTTCCCGAGGTGGAGGCGGCAGAGGTGAAGGCGGAGGTGGCGCAGCGGGCAGTCAACGCCCTCATCCAGGACCTCTGGAGCACAGCCTCTCTCACCGCCTCCAGGGCTCACGGGCCCGAGCTGGCGTTTGCTGGGAGCTGGGACGGAGGAGGAGGGGGAGGAGGGAATGCGGGTGTGTTTGGGTCAGGGCGGCTGGTTTTGGAGGAGGAGGATCCGAACCACAAGAGCCTTGTGCTCGCGCCGCCCATGGTGCTGGTGAGTGCCGCCCACTGTGCTGGTGAGTGCCGCCCACTGTGCTGGTGAGTGCTGCCCACTGTGCTGGTGAGTGCCGCCCATGGTGCTGGTGAGTGCCGCCCATGGTGCTGGTGAGTGCCGCCCATGGTGCTGGTGAGTGCCGCCCATGGTGCTGGTGAGTGCCGCCCATGGTGCTGGTGAGTGTTTCGCTCCCCTGGTGGCTGGTTGCTCGTGTCCATGCTCCAGCCAGCATGACTTTTGAGGCCCCCCAAACGTTGGATTGGAGTTGGACTCGAAAATTTCGAGGCGACGTATTTTTCCAGTTGACTACAAAATGTTGGATGCTGGGCCCTCATAGCATCTAAGGCCCTACACTCTCTGCTTTTGAGACGTCTGCCTCACGACTTGCTTGCTGTTCTAACCCTCAGTCCCTTGGCGTTTTGTTTTGTTTTCGCCTGTTCCGCCCACCCATGCAACTCACTGCTTTCAAGGGAGAGTCTTTGAACACAAAGCTGATTCGCAGGTGGTTTTTTTTGCGCAGAGCTCGTTTTCGTTTCTCCGTTGTCACCATGCTCTCATGCTCTCATCCTCTCATCCTCTCACTCACTCACCTCAGGTCGCTGCTCTCACAGGAGAGTACCTCGTGCGCAGAGCATACGTGCAGGTTTCTTTTTTGAGACGGCTATTTATTGGTATTTTCCCCTCGTCATCCTTTCATCCTCGCATCCTCTCTTCTCATCCTCTCATCCCCAGGTCGCTGCTCTCAAAGGAGAGTACCTCGTGCGCAGAGCATACGTGCAGGTTTCTTTTTTGAGACGGCTATTTATTGGTATTTTCCCCTCGTCATCCTTTCATCCTCGCATCCTCTCTTCTCATCCTCTCATCCCCAGGTCGCTGCTCTCAAAGGAGAGTACCTCGTGCGCAGAGCTTACTTGCGGGCGGCGAGGCAGGAGTGCCGGACGGCGGTGGGGCGGGCGGCACGGCAGCAGCGGGAGAAGCAGAAGCAGCCGTCGTCAGCAGTGGCTGTGATATGGACCATCGACCGGGCGGCGTGGTCGCTGCTGAGTGATGGGCACGTGTTTGCAGAGGCTGAGATCCAACACATGGTGAGAGGCTGTGGAGGGGGATACTGGGAGATGGGTTTGCACTGCACTGAGTGATGGCCATGGCCACGTGGACTGCACTGCACTGCAACTCACTCAGCGCAGTGCACTGCACTGAGAAATGGCCATGGCCACGTGGACAGGGACTTCAGTGACATAGGCATCGTATGGCTCTCCATGTTGCACCCCCTCTCCCTCCCCCCACTCTTTTGCCCTTTTTACCACACACCGTCTCCCCCTCCCCTCCACCCTCCCACATCAGTTGCTCAACGTGGACAGGGACTTGAGTGACATAGGCATGGCATGCTTCTCAATGTTGCACCCCCTCTCCACATCCCCCCCCCCCCCCCACCACCTCTTTTTCGCCCTTTTTACCACACATCGTCTTCCTCCCCCCCGCTCCCCTTTCATTTCCTATCAGTTGCTCAACGTGGACAGGGATTTCAACGACATAGGCATGCATGGCGTGCTTCGTCATCAAGCCCATCGCCGTGCGCAACTGCGTCTTGAAGAAGTTAAGTCCCATATACCTGACCTAACCCCCCCTCCTTCCCCCTCCCCCTCCCCACCACCACATCAGCTTCTCAACGTGGACAGGGATTTCAACGACATAGGCATGGCGTGCTTTGTCATCAAGGCAATCGCTGTGTGCGCAACTATTTGGTCTCCGCCCTTTCTCACTTCCCCATCCACGTCCCCCCTTTCCCACACTGCTTGCCCCACTCACCATCTGCCCTCCACCACCACACCAGCTCCTGAACGTCGACAGGGATTTCAACGACATAGGCATGGCGTGCTTCGTCATCAAGTCCATTGCCGTGCGCAACTGCCTGCCTCAAGCCAAGTCGCGCCTCGTGCTCTCTGCCTGGAACCCTCCTCCCGACTGGTCCCGGTCAGTACCTGCCCTACAGTCCCCCCCCTTTCACTGCCCACATTTCGTTTCCCGTCCCCCACTCCTATAAGCCAAGTCACGCCTCATGCTCTCCGCGTGGAACCCTCCTCCCGACTGGTCCCGGTCAGTACCTGCCCTACAGTCCCCCCCCTTTCACTGCCCACATTTCGTTTCCCGTCCCCCACTCCTATAAGCCAAGTCACGCCTCGTGCTCTCCGCCTGGAACCCTCCTCCCGACTGGTCCCGGTCAGTACCTGCCCTACAGTCCCCCCCCTTTCACTGCCCACATTTCGTTTCCCGTCCCCCACTCCTATAAGCCAAGTCACGCCTCGTGCTCTCCGCCTGGAACCCTCCTCCCGACTGGTCCCGGTCAGTACCTGCCCTACAGTCCCCCCCCCTTTCACTGCCCACATTTCGTTTCCCGTCCCCCACTCCTATAAGCCAAGTCACGCCTCGTGCTCTCCGCCTGGAACCCTCCTCCCGACTGGTCCCGGTCAGTACCTGCCCTACAGTCCCCCCCCTTTCACTGCCCACATTTCGTTTCCCGTCCCCCACTCCTATAAGCCAAGTCACGCCTCGTGCTCTCCGCCTGGAACCCTCCTCCCGACTGGTCCCGGTCAGTGCTTGCCCTTCAATCTCACCATTTCCCCCCGCACCCCTCCATACACCACACACATCCCATATATCTCTAGTGTCGTTCTCAGAACCTCTTTCAAAAAGCTGGTTGTGATTCCTTCCTTTTCATCCTCCCTCTTGTTCCCCCCTCCCAGTTTTCTCATTCCCCCTCTTTCCCCCCGTCCTCCGTCACCCCCCACGCTCCCCCTACGTGCTCTCCATGTTGCAGACATGCCATGATTCGAGTGGTGGGTAAGATAGGCAAGCCTGTGGATGGTGTCTCACTCATTTCCTTTCTTCTCCCCCATCCACCGTTTTCCCATGCCCTCCCACGCCCTCCCATGCCCCTTGGCCATGCAGACATGCCATGATTCGAGTGGTGGGGAAGATAGGCAAGCCTGTCGACGGCGTCTCCCCCATTGAGACCTTTGAGGTGAGATGAAACGCCTCAGGTGAGATGAAACGCCTGAGGCTGACATGAAACGCCTCAGGTGAGACGAAAACGCATGAAGTGAGATGCAACACCCAAGGTGGGAAAATTCTCCATGGTGTTTACCACTTGCTGCCACTTCCCTCTGCCTTGGCAATTTGATGGAGGTCTACCCGCCCCGCCCCGTCCCGTCCACCTGACAGAGCAGACGTTCGTTTGTGAGACGTGTCGAAAACCACTTACTCACCTGGGATGTGTGTGCATGAGCAGGAGGAGATCTACCCGCCCTGCATCTACCTGAAAGAGCAGATGTACCGAGTGGTGTGGGTAGGAAATGTCTCAAATTAATGGATCAATTATTTGCCTGTGTGTGCATGTATGTGCATGTCTGAACGCGTGCGTGTGTGAGCAGGTGGAGATCTACCCGCTGCGCATCTACCTGACAGAGCAGATGTGTGCTTCTGTGAGGCATGTCAAGTAGTTCGTTAACTCACTATGTGAGCATGTGTGTGTGCGTGCGTGCGTGCATACGTGTCCATCCAGGTGGAGATCTACCCGCTGCGCATCTACCTGACAGAGCAGATGTATCGAGTGGTGTGGGACTATCTCTTTGCCAAGGAGCCAGACGAGCAGCTCAGGAAGCAGGTCAGCTCATACTACCCCTTGGTACCTCCTGATACCACTTGATACCATAGAAGTTTTGCGAAATATCAGAAGCAGTTCCAACAGAGCAGATGTACCGGGTGGTGTGGGACTATCTCTTTGCCAAGGAGCCCGACGAACAGCTCCGGAAGCAGGTCAGCTCCTTATACCTCTTGGCACCTCATGAGACCTCTTGGAACCTCTTCATACCTTTTGATACCACATGTTACTGTTTGAGGCATGGGGCCCGTAGCCCTCTTAGTGAAGCAGAAGGACAGGCGCCGCTCCGCTGCTCCAGACACTGCTTCCGATGCTCCCTCCTCCTCCTCTGCTGCTGCCTGCAGTGCTGGTTGTGCTGGCTTGATGATCAGTTTGAACTTTGACTCAATCCCCCCTTCTTCCCCTTGTCTTTGCCCCCCCCTCTCCCCTCTTGCTTTGCCATACCTCAGGAGATGTGGGGTCCTGTGGCGCTCCCAGTGAAGCAGAAGGACAAGCGCCGCTCCACCGCACCTGACACCCTCTCCTCCTCTGCTGCTGCCGGCACTGGAGGTGGGGGGTTCCCCGCGTCAGCGACCGTTGGGGGTGCGGGTGGTGGAGGAGGGGGGAGGAAGGGCGCGGAGGAGCCTCGCTTGAAGCACCAGTCGTCGGCTCCTCCATCTGCTCTGGTGGTTGAGGAGATTGTGAGTCTTTCATTCAAGGTTTGGGACGTCTCAAAACTCAAATGTGGGAGGCGGTGGAATGAAGGGTGGGGTGGAGCCAGGGCTGTTGAAGCACCAGTCATCGGCGCCCCCCTCTTCTTTGGTGGTTGACGAGATAGTAGTTCTCCCCCTTGTCCTCCTCGCTATAGATGCCTGCTTGCTTCCTACCCTTCCCCAACGATTCCTGAACTTGTCGGAACAAATTAGTTCTCGTCGAGACTCTTCAGATTCTAGTTCAATTCGCTTCAGATCTTTGTCTAAACCGAAAATTTCCTTTGTCCCAGCAAGAGGATCATCCTTCCCCCTCCTATATCCCCTTCCCCCTCTATTGCCTCCCTGCTCTCCGCCCTTCCCTCCTTTTCCTCACTTAGCCCCCCTTCCCTTCCTTTTTCGCCCTCCCCCCCTTCAACCCCTTCCCTCCCACCAGCGTCGGTCCACCACTGACAGCATCAATTCTACTCGCTCTGCCCGGTTGCTCCCTCCCCTCCCTTACTTTCAATCTGCCAACCACCTCCTCCATTTTTCTCCCCTTTTCCCCTCTTTCCTCCCACCAGCGTCGTCCACGCTAGTGCCTTCTCAGCAGATCGATACCCCAGTTCTGTTGCCGCTGCTGGTGCTTCTGGTGCTGCGATTTCCGGTGCTGCTGCTGACAGTGATGCTGCTGCGAGTGGATACTCTGGTGCTGGTGCTGGGGATGCTTTCTCGTCAGGTCCTTCTCCTGGCCTGCTTTATGCCCCTCCAATTACTCACTCCTCCTCGGCCCCTCTCCCCTTGGCGAATCCCTATGGTAGAGGTGCTAGTAGTGCTGGGCTAGGGTACAGAGGAGGAGGCAGGGGCGGGGGAATGGGCGGGTCTGCGGCAGGGAAAGGTTTGAGTCTGGAAGGGATTCGAGAGGGGGGGGAGAAGGATGTGGGGAGAGCGAGTGAGAAGAAGAAGGGGAGGGATAAGAAGGAGCAGGAGGAGAGGAGGAAACTGAAGGCAGAGGAGAGGGTGGCGATGAGGGAGAGGGAGAAGAGGGAGCTTCTGGAGAAGAGGAGGATGAGGATGGAGCAGAAGGAGGAGGAGAGGAGGAAGAAGCTTGCTTTGGAGGAGCAGAGGAGGACGAGGAGACAGGCGGTTTACATTCAGAACCTCAAGTTTAGCAAGGTATGTTCGGTTGTGCCTCGAAAGTACCTCTTCTTTCAGCTAGATGGGTGTCCGAGTTGGCTCCTGCTCTGCTCGTGCACACATTTAACCCGTTCATGCTCAAATTGAGGGATCCACACGTGACCGTTCCTTTCAACCCTGTCTCTCCTCCCCGCCTCGCTCTCCCTTGTCCCTTCCCTCCTTCCTTCCCCGATCTGGTGGAGCTCTTGATCACGAATGAGGGGTACCCAATCTCAGTCCCCGGCCGGCGCCTCCTCACGGACATGTATGGTTTGCCCGCACGGAAACGGAGTACACGGGGCCATGGCGCCCATTTTACTTCTCAATTCCAAAATACCTTGTTTATCTAAATAATTGTGAATATTCCTATTTCCCATTTTACTTCTCAATACCCATTTTACCTGCGCCTGCTCATGGACACGTTTGCCCGCACGAAAACGGAGTACACGGGGCCATGGCGCCCATTTTACTTCTCAATGCTTCCCCTTTCTTCCCTTCTACCCCCATCTTCAGGTGGAGCTGCTGATCACATACGAGGGGTACCCCGTCTCAGTCACCGACCTGCGGCTCCTCATGGACACATTCGCCTGCACCGAGTACACCTAAGGCCCACACCTTTCCTTATTCTGCTTCTTACCCTCTCGCAGGTGGAGCTGCTGATCACATACGAGGGATATCCAGTGTCGGTCACCGACCTGCGACTCCTCATGGACACATTTGCCCGCACCGAGTACACGGGGCCGTGGCGCCCATTCAACTTGTTAACACTTCCCCCTTCTTCTCCTCTCTCCCATCAGGTGGAGCTGCTGATCACATACGAGGGGTACCCCGTCTCAGTCACCGACCTGCGGCTCCTCATGGACACCTTCGCCCGCACGGAGTACACGGGGCCGTGGCGCCGCCTCTTCTCTCGCCTTCGCAAGCATGTCATCTGGGGCGTGCTCAAGTCTGTCACAGGCATGCAGGTGAGAGCTGCATTACCGCACTGCACCGCACAAAATGCACCGAGTACACGGGGCCGTGGCGCCGGCTGGTCTCGCGGCTAAGGAAGCATGTCATCTGGGGGGTGCTCAAGTCGGTCACAGGCATGCAGGTAACTCCATCAACAGTAAAATCTCATTGCCGCAATGCACCGCACTGCGCCGCACTGTAACGCACGGAGTACACGGGGCCGTGGCGCCAGCTGTTCTCTCGCCTGCGCAAGCACATCATCTGAGGCGTGCGCGAGTCCATCACAGGCATGCAGGTAACTCTATCAGTCAACAGTAAAATTGCATTACTGCACTGCACCGCGCTGTAACCCACTGAGTACACGGGGCCATGGTGCCGCCTGTTCTCGCACCTGGGAAGACTTGGCGTGCTGAAGTCTGTCACAGGCATGCAGGTGAGAACCGCAGTATTGCACTGCACCGCTCCGCACTGTGCTGCACCGAGGGGCCGTGAGTGTGAGCTAAGCACGTCATTTGGAGCGTGTAGTAATCAGTCCCAGGCTTGCAGGTGATATGAGCTGCATTTCTGCAATGCATTGCACTGCGCTGCACCGCACTGCTCCTCGTTCCAAACCCAACACCCCATTCCCCTTCTGCCTCTTCTCATTTCCCGCTTCGCCGTCTCTTACCCCAGGGCCGCAAGTTCAAGGACGCACATTTGCAAGCCGGAAGCAGCGGTGGCGGCGGCAGCAGCATCACCACAACCACCCCATCCAAGTCGCAAGCAGCAGCGGCTGCAGCAGCAGCAGCGGAGATGGCAGAGAGTGACAGTGACGACGAGAGCGCACCCGCAGGGGGGGCGTCAGGGGCTGGAGTGGACGGGAAAGCTGGCAGGAAGATTCCCGCAGCAGCAGGGGCAGGAGGAGGGGCCAGCGGGGGAGGAGGAGGGGGAGGGGGGGAGGGGGTGGGCGACGGGAGTTATGGTGGGAGTGTGGGGGCAGGAGGGGGAAGGGTGGGTGTGTTGGAGGCAGGATCTGTTGTTCCTGGTGCTGCGGCCACTGCAGCTAGTGGTAGCAACAGCAGTGCTCACATGGGCAATGTGGGCATCACAAGCAGCAGTTCTGGGGAAGCAGCAGGAAACTCTGCTGGTGCTGGCACTGCTGCCGTCCTTGTCACTGCTGCTACTGCTGCTGCTGCTGCTTCTGGTGGCAGTACCACAGGCGTGAGTGGCAACAGCAGCAGCAGCAGCGGCGGGGGCAGCGGCAGTGGTAGCACGGCAGCTGGTTCTGGTTCTGGTGCAGGGACACTGGCGGTGGGAGGAGGCGGGGCGTCGATGCTACTGGCTCGGCTGGGGAACAAGGGGGAGCGCATGGGAGATGGGTTCGTGTCGTCGGTTAAAGGGCTGTTTAAGGACCAGCTTGGACGAGCCAAACATGTGCTTAAGAGCAAAGAGCAGCAGCAGCAGCAGCAGCAGCAGCAGCAGCAGCAGCAGCAGCAGCAGCAGGTGCATCACCATCACCACCACCGGCATCATCAGCAGCACCAGCAGCAAAAGCAGCAGAAGCAGCAGGGGGGGGAGGAGAAAGAAGGAGGAGGTGGTGGGAGGAGTGGAGAGGAGGGTAGTGTGGGTGGTGAAAGTGGGGTGGTGAAGGGAGAGGGGAGTGGGGGGTCTCCTGTGCTGCCAACAAGGAGTGGGGAGGTGGAGAGAGAGAAGGAGAAAGGGATGAGCTCACTGGTTGCGAAGGGACAGGCTTTAGTGCCTAAGCTGTGGACTCCAAAACAGAGTGCAGGTATGTGAGGTGGAGTGAGCATGGATGAAATTGAGCTGGGATGTGGGAGTTTGCGATTGGTTATAAGGAGGTGGGTTTGCAAAGCTTATTTTGAGCAATGTAAGAAACAAAGCATCGATGAGGCTTCTTCCTCTTTTACGCCCGTCTGCCGCTGATTCTGCCTGATTCAGTATGTTTTCTTTGTTTCTGTATTTGTTTGTTTGTTTGTTTGTTTTTGTTTTTTTGCTTCGGTTTGTTTATTTGTTTGGTTTTCCTTCTTTTTCCTTCTGGAATTGGCAACTCAAGGTCGGATTGATGAAGCCATCCCGGAGGTGCCTGAAGATGGAGCTGCATCCGAGTCCTCCAGTGCAGCCATTGGATTAGAGTCGAAGGATTAGGGCACAACTTGATGGTTGTCCGACGTCCATGCGGTAATGTATGGCCTCTATCAAGTTGTTTTCCCGGTTTTATATGCCTATTGCACACTAATGATGCTGTTGCGATAAATATAGTGTTGTAGCAATGTTAGCCACAGACTGACTCCCACTAACAAATGACTTGGGATACACATTAACTGTGATGTGCACCTTGTCTAGTTTACCACAGATCCTCAATTGTTATAAATGCGGCGAGTTGTAGCGATATGGGGTCAACCAGAGGCGAACATGGCGGTGATCCACGAGCGAGTGAGGTGAGCTATCCCATTTCGCAACCAGAAAATTCAGTTTCGGTTCTACGATTCGGAAAATTGTTGCGATCACGTCAGTTTCAGCGATCAACAGATCCGTTGCTGGATCACTCGTCGTCATGGCCGCCAAAGGACAAGTCCGTAAGCTGCTTCGCTATCTTCCTCTCTATAACTTCCGTCCATTCGGCGGCTCCATGTCTCATGATCTCCCTAATCGGTTGACAGGCTGATTTATTGGACTGCATAGAGTGGCCATCAGTGGAGTGCCTGAACGCAAAACCTGGGAAGAATGTAGATAATGCAATCAAGCAGGTCAGTTTCTTTAGCAGATTTCGAGGATCGTGATTCTTCAGCCGTTGCACGTCGAGACGCACCATGAGTTTCTTTTTTTACGTTCGCAGGGTTATAGAGAGGACGATGGTTTGTTTTTGGAGAGCGACGTCGATGAGCAACTACTGGTCTACGTCCCATTCAACCAAGTCGTCAAGCTTCATTCGATTGTGATCAAGGGTCCCGAAGACGAAGGTACGAATTCCACGACCGCGTGGTAGTTTTTATTTCAACCCGCAAATACGATTCACATTTCATCTTGGCGCTCGCAGGACCCAAATGCATAAAGCTCTACTCAAACAGGCCGAACATGGGATTCAGGTAGGATGCTAAGACATTTTTGTTTTCCCTCTTAATCTGTTATCGTTTCATCGACGTCTGAGAAAGGTATCTCGTATGACGCAGCAATGTGAGCGACATACCGCCGAGTGACACCATCAATCTTACAGCTGATCAGGTTCAGGTGAGAAATGGTCAATTATTTTGCATCTATATCGTTTAAAAGACTTTGTGTGATGTGTGGATTTATCATCATAGTAAATCTCTTGACATTGCAGGAAGGGAAGGCAACACCCCTGAAATACGTGAAGTTTCAAAATGTCAGAAGGTATTACATGAACTTTCAGCCTTCGCAGCTACCATGCTTATAGGCTATCTCTTACAGTTTTTCCCCTTCGCAGTCTTACTATATTCATCGAGAGCAACCAGTCGGGTGATGATGTGACTAAGGTTCAGAAGTTGGCCATACTTGGAAGCACGTGAGTGCACTAACTCGTTCCAGCCCCGCTAACTGCCCCCGTTTTTCTCTTCCTTATTGAGGTGCCTTCATTTCATCTGAGTTTTAACGTCATCTTATTTGTATGCAGGGTTGAGACCACCAATATGAAAGACCTGAAGAAAATTGACGATAAACAAGGCTAGAGTTGCCACATAGAAATTGATGGCAGCCTGGTAGGTGTTGGGCTGAATGCCTTTCCTCAACAGTAGAAGCTTGCATTGTAGGACATGCAGGCTCATTATCTGAAAAACATGTTCTGTATAGAAGTTATTCTTGTGTCCTCTCAGCTCTCCTACAGAGATAAAGTAAAACATTGAGTGTGATGAGGGAGGGTGAGGGACGGGAAAACTGAGTGAGCAAGGGAGGAGTAATTTATGACTACATTGACAAAAAGTTCAGCATTACCTAGTGAAATTGGTACGGTTTTTTTTTTTTTTTTTTGCCCACGGTTGGTTTGTCCAGTCTCCAACGGAGGGTGAGAGACGGGAAGAGTGGGTGAGAAAGGGATGAGTAGTCTACTATCCGCGTGACCTGAAGTCACCATTCGGTTTAGTTTCGTTAGCAAAGGGAAAAGGGGAGAGACTGACAAAGGGAGCAATCTATGATCGGAGTGATGGAAAGATAGCATCACGAAATAAATATGGTCAAGGCCAATTTGTTCACAATATCGTTTGCATTCAGTTGCTTTGTCGAGTCTCACGTTTTTCCAACCGGTGGGTCTGCTTAAAACCAGGGTGCACATTCAACGCGGTTCGGCTTGAGATGTTGGGAAGGGGGTTTGGAGAAAAACAGTGATTGGCTCACGAGGGGCGACAAAAAAATGATTCCGCTAGAGCTTCGGGCATTTCGTAGGTGGCGGGAGGGGGTGAAATGGCGGGAGTGGGTGAAACCGAATGGCGGGAGGGATGAAACAGATTGGCGGGAGGGGGGGGAAACGAAATTGCGGGGGAGGGGGGAAACAAAATTGCGGGGGAGGGGGGAAACGAATTTCGACGGGGAGGGGGAAATGAAATTGCGGGGGCGTGGGGAAACGAAATTGCGGGGGAGGGGGGAAACGAATTTCGACTTGTTGAAAACACACCTCGTAACCCACTCAGTCAAGGGATAACCTTTGATGCACATTCAGCTGAATGTGCACCCCGGTTTTAAGTTACTTGGCCGAAGCCAATCTCGTGAATTAGATGCCACAGGGATTTTGACAAATGTTGATTTATTACTGAAACAAAATACAAGTCTGGCGCAAGGGTGCAAACTATACAATCTAGTACTCCTCGTTCTCATCATCACCAGGCTCGGTGGAGTCAGCCCCGACTTCCTCGTAATCCTTCTCCAGCGCAGCCAGGTCCTCACGGGCCTCCGAGAACTCGCCCTCCTCCATGCCCTCGCCGACATACCAGTGAACGAATGCACGCTTCGCGTACATGAGGTCGAACTTGTGGTCAATCCGGCTGAAGACCTCCGCCACGGAGGTGGAGTTGGAGATCATGCACACGGCACGCTGCACCTTGGCGAGATCGCCACCAGGCACCACGGTGGGAGGCTGGTAGTTGATACCGCACTTGAACCCAGTTGGGCACCAGTCGACGAACTGGATGGTCCTCTTGGTCTTGATGGTAGCAACGGCGGCGTTGACATCCTTGGGGACGACGTCACCACGGAACATCAGGCAGCAGGCCATGTACTTGCCGTGGCGAGGATCGCACTTGGCCATCATGCTGGAAGGCTCGAACGCGCTGTTGGTGATCTCAGCCACGGACAGCTGCTCGTGGTAAGCCTTCTCGGCGGAGATGACCGGAGCGTAGGAGGACAACATGAAGTGGATGCGAGGGTAGGGCACCAGGTTGGTCTGGAACTCGGTCACGTCGACGTTCAGAGCGCCGTCGAAGCGGAGGGAGGCAGTCAGGGAGGAAATGACCTGAGACACGAGACGGTTCAGGTTCGTGTAGGTGGGACGCTCGATGTCCAGGGAGCGGCGGCAGATGTCGTAGATGGCCTCGTTGTCGAGGAGAACAGCGACATCGGTGTGCTCCAGGAGCGAGTGGGTGGAGAGCACGGAGTTGTACGGCTCAACCACGGAGGTCGACACCTGAGGAGACGGGTAGACCGTGAAGCCGAGCTTGGACTTCTTGCCGTAGTCCACGGACAGACGCTCCAGGAGGAGGGAACCGAGACCGGAGCCGGTACCACCGCCGACGGCGTTGAAGACCAGGAAGCCCTGGAGACCAGTGCAGTTGTCGGCAAGCTTGCGGATGCGGTCAAGGCAGAGGTCAACGATCTCCTTGCCAACTGCGATAAAAAAACGTAAGATAAAAGGAACGATTAGTAACAGATCGAAGTCACAAAAATGGAATTACTGAGTAAAATAGATTGTCAATATTAGAAGCATGAAGGAGGCGAGTCACTTACTGGTGTAGTGACCACGGGCGAAGTTGTTGGCAGCATCCTCCTTGCCGGAGATGAGCTGCTCGGGGTGGAACAGCTGCCTGTAGGCACCGGTCCTGACCTCGTCAATCACAGTCGGCTCCAGATCGAGGAACACAGCACGAGGGACGTGCTTGCCAGCGCCAGTCTCGCTGAAGAAGGTGTTGAAGGCGTCGTCGCCTCCTCCGCAGGTCTTCTCGCCGGTCATAAGCTGGCCATCAGGCTGGATGCCATGCTCCAGGCAGTAGAGCTCCCAGCAGGCGTTGCCGACCTGGATACCGGCCTGGCCGATGTGGACGGAGATGCACTCACGCATGGTGGCGAAGTTAGTATTCAAAAATCTACAAGGGTTCTGAAGGCTACGGAAAGCTAGAAGGCTAGAAGGCGGATAGCTCAAAGGCTCTCGTGTGACGATATCAGGTCGTCAACACTCGATGCGTGAAGCAGAAATGGTTCTGGGGAGGTTATATAATCCTTGTCACAGGTAAGCCAGCAGACAGAGGAGGCTGGATGAGAGTTTCTCCCTGACAGGGTGTGTGCCCCAGATCTGAATTCAGGAGGCAAACCTTGGTGGTTTGGTAAATTCCGAGCCAAGACAGTCTGGCACAATCCCTAGGCAAACGGGAAACCATACCTACGCGGGAGTCGTGGAAATATTCCCAATACGGACAGATCCCAAAGCGTCCGAGCTTCGGAGAAACTCGAGGCTGTCATGGCCCATCTCGATGGGCTTTTCCACTGGTCAAAGCGGCATTCTGAAATTCCTGAAGCACGAACCGCGGAGATAACGCGGGAACCCGCTGACATGTGTCAGGGACATTGGCGCGGAGAAATCCACTCACACACTGGATGGCGGGGTTACTGCATTCGCGAGCTTCGTGCAACGGAAAAATCAAGGCTGGCTGGGAGCTGATTCGAAGTGGCTGACCTCGGTCTTGGCGGGAAAAAGGGTCTCTGGTGGAGAGCATAGAACACTGCACTTGGAACTGCATAGAAAAAAAAAAAAGTAGCAAGTTAATACTTGAAAATATGTGCTACTTTCCTATGGTTCAACTATCATGGTTGACTGAGAACAGATCCTCCCAAATCGACTACATCACATTTTCTTGTTTTTGTGGTTGCAATACATGTGAGTTGCACCTTCATGATCCAAAATTCCCTACAAGTTATCCAATAAAAGGGAATCTATTCACTCCACTACTTGGCTTTGCCCTTACCCTTGCCACCAGGCAAGGGAGCAAGCCCCCCCCCCAGACCCAGAGGAGCATCCCCTTGACTTGCTTCTCCATTTGCCGTAGCTGCAGGCTTGCTTGCTGCCGCTGCTGCTCCCGCACCTTTCTTTCCTCCAGCTTTCGTGGGAGGCGGAGCTCCTGAGACAGCACCAACACCAACACCAAGGCCCACACCGCCAAGCCCAGCAGGCGCTGCCGAACCACCTGCCGAGCCAGCTGCCGGAGCAGCTGCCGAGCCTGTCTTGCTAGCGGAAGAGCTAGCCGCACCAGAAGCTGGTGACGTGCTATTGATGAAATTAATCAGTTCTTCCATGTCCATTGCACTGGGTGCACCGGCTCGGGCACCTGCCGAACCTGCAGCTCCTCGCAGGTTCACCCCCCGAGCCGCTGCTTTCCGCCGAGCCTCTGCAGCAGCCCTGGAAGCCCGCTCGTCCACACCTCTGGCTCGAATGCCAGTGCCTGAGGAGCCTGTAGCTCCCATGCCTCCGCCGAACCTGCCTGCACCAGCTCCGGGAGCAGGTGGGGGGACCTCTCCCCGAAGCAGAGCGTCAGCCACGGCACGCTGGTACGAGGTGGAGCCTCCTGCTCCGGGCGCTGCTGCTGCCTGCAACACCTGAAGCAGCTCCGGCCGTTGCTGAAAGAAAAGGAAGGCATGGGCAAGAGGAAAAGACGTAGATCAGGAATCCGAATCTAGACTATCTGCAGCACGCCAACAATGATGGCAACACGGACAAAGAATGGCAATGCTTTATGTGTTCGAAATGGCAGCCTCGGCATACCTTGAGAGCTTCGGCCACACGGAGAGCTGCTGCTTGTTGCTGCTGGACTGTTGCTGATGATTGCCCCACCTTCTGCTTTTGCGCCTGTGGAGACGTGGAGGGTAAGGGGAAAGGCATGGGAGAGAAAGCGAACAGAAGTGAGTGAGGGCTGCTGGTTGAGATACGACTGCAACCACTCCCCAGCATCGCATGCACGCACCCACTCCCCCGACCCCATAATGGTACTTGAGCAATGCAAGCAAGCACTCATTCCCATGCACTACCCCACATGCACACACGTAAATGCATATCCACACACGCACTAAATCATACGTGGCAGTCTCTCACCCTGAGCTCGCGGTCAGCCCCCAACCAACCACGCACACACGCGTACACATGCAGATGCGACAGCCCCCCCACTCACCCTGAGCTCCCGGTCGAGGAACGACTGCACCCACTGCTCCGACTCCTTGGTGCTGCTTGGGCAATGCATGTACGTGCAACAGTCGCACACTCATCCACCACACTACCGACACGCAACTAGCCCCCACTCACCCTGAGCTTGCGGTCGAGGAACGACTGCACCCACTGCTCCGACTCCTTGGGCGATGCAAGCATGCCTTCACGTGCCTTCACGTGCGCACACATGCAGCACTCATGCATTCAGATGTGCACAAACACAGCACTCACCCTGAGCTCGCGGTCGAGGAACGACTGCACCCACTGCTCCGACTCCTTGGGCGATGCACGCATGCCTTCACGTGCGCACACATGCAGCACTCATGCATTCAGATGTGCACACACACAGCACTCACCCTGAGCTCGCGGTCGAGGAACGACTGCACCCACTGCTCTGACTCCTTGGTGCGCGGGTCCTCCTTCCCCACCGCCTTCTCAAACACCGCCTGTGCCTTGCGCTCCTCCTGTGGTGGCGGGGGAAGTGGAGACAAAATGGTGAGAGACGGTGCAAGAAAAAGGGTGGGGAGGAGAGCTGATGGAACTAGGAGCTTCAAGGCCAGGCCAGCATAAGCCCTCTAGCACTCACACACATACCTGCAACACCAACTTGAATGTGCCCGTTGATCGTGGTGGCAAACGGCAACCTGCACGTGATGCTGCCCCAGCAGCCTCCCACTCACTGCCTATTCCCCTCGGAACCTACTGCAGCACACCCTTATGCCTTACACACCTGTAAGGCGAGCTTGAATGCCCCCATGGAAGAGAAGGCGAGGACGAGAGCACGGTGACACACGGCCACCTGCACGTGATGCTACCCCAGCAGCTTCTCACTAACTGACTAACGTCCTCAGCACCTACTGCAGCATACCCTAACGCACCTGTAGAGCGAGCTTGAACGCCCCCATAGACGAGAAGGCGAGGGCGAGAGCGTGGTGACACACGGCCACCTGCACGTGATTCTCCCCCAGCAGCTTCTCACTCACTCGCACCGCCTCCTGCAGGTACTTCATTGCGTTCTGCAACTTGCCCATGTCCTGGTGATGGGGAGCGAGAACAGGAGGGGAAGGCGGCGGGGAAAGGTGTATTGAGAACAGGATAACAGATTCTCACTGACTCGCACCGCCTCCTGCAGATAATTCATGGCGGTCTGTAACTTGCCCATGTCCTGGTGATGGGGTGGGAGGGCAGGCAGGAGGAGGGGCAGGGAGGAAGGGGGGGAAGGACGAGTGTGTTGAACCAGCCGACTTTTGAGTCGACTCAAAAGTCACCTCGTTACCAGGGGGGGAAGGACGAGTGTGAGTCGAGTTTGGAGTCGACTCAAAAGTCACCTCGTTACCAGGGGGGGAAGGACGAGTGTGAGTCGAGTTTGGAGTCGACTCAAAACTGGAGTGTGTTGAACCAGCCGACCGGCACCTTCTCATCCACCACATCCCCCCCTTTAAGCACTTCATCACCTTATGCTGACAACCATACATACACACACCACACCACATCCCTCAACCCACACACCTGGTAGGTGAGAGCGATGTTGACGAACAGCGAGGCCACCTCCGGGTGGTCGTTGCCAGCTGAGAGCGAGAGCAGCTGCAGGGTGCGCTTGAAGTGACGCAGGGCAAGCTCAGACTCGCCCATGGCGTGGAAGTAGAGAGCCATGTTGCCGTAGCTGGTGGGTGAAGGGGCAAGGAGAGGGCGCGAGAAGCGTGTTAGGAGAGGTTTGGTAGAGGCATGGGGTGCGCTTGAAGTGGCGCAGAGCGAGCTGTGATTCGCCCATGGCGTGGAAATACAGTGCCATGTTGCCAAGCTGGCGGTGTGCGGGAAGAGGGAGGGGAGGAACGAGGAAGCCAAGGGAAGGGAGCAAGCATGGCGTGCAAGGCATGGCATGGCATGGATGGCACGACATGGCACAGTCGATTTTTGAGTCGACTCAAAAAGCAAGCATGGCGTGGCAAGGCACGGAATGGCATGGATGCCACGACATGGCACAGGGAGAACAACACAGTAGGTATGTACCATGGGAAGAGAGGCGGGCATGGCATCAAAAGCCATGGCCACCGGGTATCCACGTGGCGGAATGCTATTGGTGGACATACTGACCGGAAGCACATGGGACAGGTGCACCCGGCTAATTTGCCACCAGATGAGAGGTTTCACAGAGAAAGTCCCAGCTCTGCTCCCGCCCCCTGCTTTGCTCACACCACCACTTCAAACTTCTCAGAACCATGATGGAGGGGGAGCATCAGCTAATCTGTGCACGAAGTCAGGGTGGTGTGTTTCCTTCCACCACCCGCTCACTGACAATCAGCTCGCGATAAATTCCAGCACAAGACGCTGCCCACTTGCTTCCCCCCCTTAGTGTTGCCAGTAAACAGCAACGCCCACCTATGCACGGTGTCAGGGTGGTCTGTTCCCGCCACCCTCTTGTTGATGACCAGCTCACGGTGCTGCTGCTGCACGAGGCACTGCCCCTTGCACCCCCTCCATGCACCACCCCCTTCCCCCACCCTTGCTCGCCCCCTTGGATCCCCCACCAGTGTGTGTCACACGCCCACCTGTGCACGGTGTCGGGGTGGTCCGTCCCCACAACCCGCTCGTTGATAATCAGCTCGCGGTGCTGCTGCAGAATGGCATTGCCTGTCTCTCCTGCGTGGTAGAAGATCAGAGCCAGGTACCTGGGGTTGTGCAGGGGTGTAGATGGGTGGGAAGAGGTGCGGGGGAACGGAATGGGGAAGATGAACGGGGGGAGGGAGAAGGGGCACTGCAGAAAAAGACCAAAGGAGTGGTCTGGCAAGGACACATGGGAAAGGGCAACATCAAAGGGAGAGAAATGAGTGGGGACAGGGAGGGAAGGAGGGGAAAGGGAGGAAGGGAGGGAGGGAGGGAGGGAGGGAGGGAGGGAGGGAGGGAGGGAGTGAGGGAGGGAGGGAGGGAGGGAGGGAGGGAGGGAGGGAGGGAGGGAGGGAGGGAGGGAGGGAGGGAGGGAGGGAGGGAGGGAGGGAGGGAGGGAGGTAGGGAGGGAGGGAGGGAGGGAGGGAGGGAGGGAGGGAGGGAGGGAGGGAGGGTACAAATGGATAGAATACAAAAGGCTGGCAACGAATGCGGCATGCAGCAATGTCCCACACACCTCTAGAGAATTCTTGCGAGTGACTCGGACATACCTCACTCCATGCTTGCTTACCTGCAGCATGCTGCAACGTCCAGATGAAGTGGCCCGCACACCTGCACGTGGAGAGGGGTGGTGGAATGGGGTTGGGAGGGTGTGGGGGAGGGAGGAGAGACGGGGGTGTTGGGAGGGGCTAGGGAGGAGCGGAACAAGGAAAGAGGAGAGGGAGAGATGCAAGAAACGAGAGGAAAACGAGAAGGAGAGAACGGGAAAGGGAAGGGAAATGGGAGGGGTAAGGGGCAGTAGAGAATGTGAGTTTCTGCGGAAAAAAGAAAGAAGGTCAATAGGCGTCTGCCATTCTAGCCCCCCTTCCTTCCCCTCCCCCCCCCCTCCTAGCTCCCTTCCAATACCGTCCACTCATATACCCCCCTCCCTTCCCCCCACCAGCCCTGGAACCCCACCTGCTGCAGGATCTGGTAGGCCTCGCTGAGAATCTCAAACGCGGAGTTGAGGGTTGTCTCGTGCTCCCCACCCTTCCTAGTCCTGATCCAATACCCCCGCAACTCCCCGCCCCCGCCCCCGCCCCTCCCCCCACCAGCCATGACCCCTCACCTGCTGCAGGATCTGGTAGGCCTCGCTGAGGATCTCAAACGCGGAGTTGAGGGTTGTCTCGTGCTCCCCACCCTTCCTAGTCCTGATCCAATACCCCCGCAACTCCCCGCCCCCGCCCCCGCCCCTCCCCCCACCAGCCATGACCCCTCACCTGCTGCAGGATCTGGTAGGCCTCGCTGAGGATCTCAAACGCGGAGTTGAGGGTTGTCTCGTGCTCCCCACCCTTCCTAGTCCTGATCCAATACCCCCGCAACTCCCCGCCCCCGCCCCCGCCCCTCCCCCCACCAGCCATGACCCCTCACCTGCTGCAGGATCTGGTAGGCCTCGCTGAGGATCTCAAACGCCGAGTTGAGGGTTGTCTCGTGCTCCCCACCCTTCCTAGTCCTGATCCAATACCCCCGCAACTCCCCGCCCCCGCCCCCGCCCCTCCCCCCACCAGCCATGACCCCTCACCTGCTGCAGGATCTGGTAGGCCTCGCTGAGGATCTCAAACGCGGAGTTGAGGGTTGTCTCGTGCTCCCCACCCTTCCTAGTCCTGATCCAATACCCCCGCAACTCCCCGCCCCCGCCCCCGCCCCTCCCCCCACCAGCCATGACCCCTCACCTGCTGCAGGATCTGGTAGGCCTCGCTGAGGATCTCAAACGCCGAGTTGAGGGTTGTCTCGTGCTCCCCACCCTTCCTAGTCCTGATCCAATACCCCCGCAACTCCCCGCCCCCGCCCCCGCCCCTCCCCCCACCAGCCATGACCCCTCACCTGCTGCAGGATCTGGTAGGCCTCGCTGAGGATCTCAAACGCCGAGTTGAGGGTTGTCTCGTGCTCCCGCAGCCACTGCCCGCTCTGAGGCGTGGCGGAGAAGCGCGGGCGCAGAGGCAAGCCGACCTGGAAAGGAAGAGAGGGCGTGTGTTCAAAGGATGTGGGCGTGGGGCACGTGGGAATTGGGCAGGGTATGGATTGTACCATCGGAAGAGACACAGGGATGGCATGGCATGGCATGGCATGAATTGGCATGGGAATGGCATGGCAAGGGTATGTACCATGGGAAGAGAGGCGGGCATGGCATGGGAAGCCATGGTCACCGGGTATCCACGTGGCGAAACGCTATTGGTGGACATACTGACCGGAAGCACATGGGACAGGTGCACCCGGCTAATTTGCCACCTGGATTATGCAATGTGTGCCAAGCGAATTTGCCATCCTTCAAAGATTATTCCTCACCTCTCACCCTCTGCCCTCCCCGCCCATACCTTGTGCGCGAGGCTCTTCCACTTTTCCAACAGCTTCTGAGCGTCGCTGCAGGCGGGCGAGGCGTGAAGAGAGAGACACCATCTTTCTGCCCACTAACTAACCCTCCTTCAACACACTGCCACTAATACCGTGCATGCACACTGCTCCCCGCCCATACCTTGTGCACGAGGCTCTTGCCCTTCTCCAGCAGCTTCTGCGCGTCGCTGCAGGCGGGAGAAGCGAACTTGACTTGGGGCAGCAGGTCGCACACATCTGCTATGGCGATCGGCACGTCACACTCCAGGTTGTAATCCCTGGCTGCCAGGACGATGCCCATCTGTTAGGGCAATTCAGGAAACACAGGGATAGGGAACTGGGCAGAGATTGGGGCAGCAGGTCGCACATGTCTGCAATGACGATGGGCACGTCGCACTCGAGATTGTAGTCCCTGGCTGCCAGGACGATGCCCATCTGTTGAAGTGGGGGCAACGGGTAACACAGGGAGAACAGGGAGAGGGGGAATGGAGTAAGCGAACTTGACTTGCGGCAGTCAGGTGAGGCGAGCTTGACTTGGGGCAGCAGGTCACACACGTCTGCTATGGCAATGGGCACGTGGCACTCGAGGTTGTAGTCCCTGGCTGCCAACACAATGCCCATCTGTGAGTGGAACAACGGGGACATCGGGAGAGGGGAGTGGGCAGAGATTATTATCAGGGGAGCAGGTCGCACACGTCTGCGATCGCAATGGTCATATAGCATTCGAGGTTGTAATCCCTCGCTGCCAGGACTATGCCCATCTGTAGTGGAGACACAGGAAGGAAGGGCAGTGGGGAGAAGAAGGGGAAATAATGAGGAAGAGGCTATATGCAGCAGGCCCAAACACAATCCCATGGCACTAGGCATGTCGCAATGGAGAGGAGATAATAGATTTTGGCTGCCATGAGCATTAGGCCTTTTGAGGGCCAAAGGTCACTAAAGATCATAGTTTTCAGTTGCCAGGATTAGGCCCACGCCTGAAAATATGCCTGCTGCCGGAGTATGGACTGACCTTGAGGCAGATGTTGCGGAGGGTGGCGAGGCTGCGAACCATCTTGCGCGTCTCAGAAGGGATTTCGAACTGTGCACAGGACAGGGCATGGCAGGACAGGGAGGGCAGGACAGGAGGGCAGGGCAGAGCAGGGCAGGGTAGGGTAGGGCAGGGCAGGGTAGGGCAGGGCAGGGCAGAGGAAGACAGGGAAACGCCCATGGAGATAGGGAGATGGACAGACGGAAGCAGAAAATGAGTAAATATCTAAGGATAGCAGCAGAAAATACATGTGAGACAGACGGAATGAAAAAGGGATCAGGGCAGAGATGCTGAACATACGAGGAAAAAAAAAATCGTTAAAAAGGGAGCAGCAGGGGAGGGGGGCATGGTGACAGATGCAATGATGATAACATTCCTTCACAACATTCCTTATCATTCCAGGCAACTATAACCAAGTTTCAGTCTCTCACCTGATACTTGTACTTGACGCCTTCAGTGATATCAGACCACACCATATCCGCCGTGATACGAGTATACCCCGGCACATCCACCACAAACAGAAACGCCTCCTTCTTCTCTTCCCCCTCCTCCTTCCTCTCCTCCCCATCCTTCTTCTCTCCCCCCTTCCCCTTCTTCTTCTTCTTCCCCCCGCCGCCCGCCGCGCCGCCCTCAGTTTTGTCCGTATCCCCGACGCCGGGGAGCGTGGGCGGCGGCGTGGTGGTGGAGGTGCCGAGGAAGCAGTTGAGGAAGTGTGCGATGGCGCCGGCCACGTCCTGCTCGAGCGTCTCGCGCAGCACAGCCTTGAGCACGTGCTTGGTGGCCCTCACCACCATCTCCGCCACGCACAGCCAGTACACCTGCTCCACGTCAGCCACCTCCTTCGCCACCTGGCAGTTTCAAGGGAGGGGGAGTGGGGGAGGGGGGAAGGAGGCGGGCGGGAAGGGGGGGAAGGGAAGAGGGGTTGGGTATGAGAGAAAAGCAGCGAGGGAGTGGGGAGCAAGGGAGTGAGCAGGGGAGGCAGCAAGGGAGGGAGCAGTTGAGGAAGTGGGCGATGGCGCCGGCCACGTCCTGCTCGAGCGTCTCGTGCAGCACAGCCTTGAGCACGTGCTTGGTGGCCCGTACTACCATCTCCGCCACGCACAGCCAATACACCTGCTCCACGTCAGCCACCTCCTTCGCCACCTGGCAGTGTGTAAGGGAGGAGTGGGGTGGTAGGGAAGGGAGGGGGGCAAGGGACCAACCCAGGTACAGCAACAAGTTGACAACTGTCACCATGAGCATGCATAGTCCTGCCAGCAAGGAACCTTTTGAGTCGACAAGTCACCTAGGCATGCATAGTCCTGCTTGCAAGCACACACACAGCCATCCGCACATGTTCCTTTACCATATCCACATTACATTACATAGCACATGTTCCATTACCATTTCCACATCCCAGCACCGTGCATCCCCACGCCCACCCATCTGAAGGCCATGAAAAAGCCACCAATGCAGGCACTCACCCGGCCCAGGTAGCGCAGGTTGACGCCATGCGCGTGCATGGTGCTGGCGAGCGAGTGCCCATCCACAGGCCACCCCTCGAGAGCTCTGGATGTCCGCCACCAGTGCTGGCAGCGCTGTCTTTTGATGCGCCTCAACCCTGAACAGCTAAACCCTCTAAAATCCCTCGACAGCTCAGTAAGTCTGCCACCAGCACCGTGACCCACGTGCATGAGAAACACCCACCCACCCGCCCATTCATCCAAGGCCCACGAGAGGGAAACTCACCCGGCCCAGGTAGCGCAGGTTGACGCCATGTGCGTGCATGGTGCTGGCAAGCGAGCGGCCGTCCACGGGCCACCCCTCAGAGCTCTTGATATCCGCCACCAGTGCTGGCAGTGCTGTATCGATCAGGTATTTGCCCGCCTTGCGCACTACTGCTTCATCCTCCTCCACCTCCTGATGTTGTGTGGGGGTGCACCGTGGGGGGGGGGAGAGGAAAGAGAGAGAGTGATGGGATGGGTTGTGACAAACAAAAGTCTCATTCTCACACTCAACCCACTCACTCTCAGACTCACCCTCACACTCACTCCCACTCTCAGACTCACTCTTGTTCCTTCTCATCCACCCACCTTGGGATAATCAGCCAGTTTGAATTCGGTGAATGCGTTCGGGTTAAACAGCGCGTCAGGAAACTCGCCCTTCTCCCTCTCAGTCACCCTCACCCTCACCCTCACCCTCACCCTCACCCTCAACCTCACCCTCACCCTCACCCTCACCCTCACCCTCACCCTCACCCTCACCCTCACCCTCACCCTCACCCTCACTCGTATTCCCTCTCTCACCAACCCACCTTGTGATCATCGGCCAGCTTAAATTCTGTCAGCGCATTCGGGTTAAACAGCACGTCAGGAAGCTCGCCCTTCTCCCTCAGCGCCTCCACCTCCTCTGCAATCAACACCTGGCAACCTGGAATAAACAAATTCTCACCCTCACAATGGATCTCACACTCACCCTCAGATGCATTCTCTCCCACCCACCTTGGGATCATCTGCCAGTTTGAACTCAGTGAGTGCATTCGAGTTATACAGCACATCAGGCAGCTCGCCCTTCTCCCACAGCGCCTCCACCTCCTCTGCATTCGGCCTCCCAGTCACCTTGAAATCAACTCACTCTCACACACACTCACACTCACTCCCACACACACCTTGGAATCATCCGCCAGCTTGAATTCTGTCAGCGCGTTCGGGTTGAACAGCACGTCAGGCAGCTCGCCCTTCTCCCTCAGCGCCTCCACCTCCTCTGCACTCGACCGCTCACTCATTCACACTCACATGCACTGACTCTCAGTCTCGCACTTGACCACTCACCTTGGAATCATCGGCCAGCTTGAATTCTGTCAGCGCATTCGGGTTGAACAGCACGTCAGGCAGCTCTCCCTTCTCCTTTAATGCCTCCACCTCCTCTGCACTCGGCCGCTCGCTCACGCCCTTCTGAGCCATCCACCGCTCCACCTGCTCCTCCCGGCAGAACTTCTCCACCAGCTCAGGACGGAGAATCGCCAGGCGGTTAGCAGCATTGGCAGCGTTGGCAGCGTTGGCAGTGGTGTTGGTATCAGTGCCGTCGCTACCGGTGGCAGTGGTGGTGGTGCTGGTGGTGGTGGCGGTGAAATTGGCGTCGCGGGGAGTGAGGCGGATCAGATCCAACAGGTATTTCCTGAGGGGATGGAGGCGAGGGGAGGGAGAAACAGCGGCCAGAAGGGATGATTCACTAAAACGACTGGCCTGGGAGCCAGCTATACCCATCCCTCCCCGTTTGAGAGTTTACCAGCGTTGGCAGTGGTCCCTCGATTCTCCAGTGTCCCTCAGCAGTACCGTCAGTCCCTGTTTAACTCTCCGGATCCCTCCCCAACACTCCTCACCCCTCCCCACCGCGCACCTGTCATCGCTGCCCAGAATGCCCTTGGTCTCCACAGGCGAGCACAGAGTCGCCTCCTTGCCCTCAGCCATACAGTCAGACCAGCACTCCCCTGCCCCCACAAACCTCACCTTCTCGTCAATCCCTCCCCAAAACCCATCACCCCTCCCCACCACTCTCCACCACGCACCTGTCATCGCTGCCCAGAATGCCCTTCGTCTCCACAGGCGAGCACAGAGTGGCCTCCTTGCCCTCCCCGTCCGCCCAGGACTCGTGGGTCTAATCCACATTCCCTCACCCCCTGTCAACATCTTTTCCCACACGCACCTGTCATCGCTGCCCAGAATGCCCTTGGTCTCCACAGGCGAGCACAGAGTCGCCTCCTTGCCCTCTCCGTCCGTCACCTTGTGCTGCTTCAGGTGCAGCGCCTTACCCAGCTCAGCCACCTGGGGGTGAAAGAAGCGAGAAGCGAGGCACAGGGGGCAGGAGCAGGTGAGACAAGGAAGAGAACAAGAGGACGTGAGACAGAGGGGCTTGCCCTCCCCGTCCGTCACCTTGTGCTCCTTCAGGTGCAGCGCCTTGCCCAGCTCCGCCACCTGAAGGTATGGCAGGGAGGGAGGGAAGGAGGCAACATGCAAGGCGGTCAATGAGTGGGTGTTTGCCATTGCTAGACGCACACAGGGCATACACCCACTCACGCAAAGGAACCCAACGAGTCATCACCCATACCCCAGCACCACGGCGCTTTGGGATGGAACGAGTCACTCCACTTGATGGTCTTGCCCGTGTCCACCGACCCGTACAGCATCTGTTTGTCACCTAACTAGCACCAGCAATGCATACATGCACGTACACACCCTCACACACATGCAACCACACAAACCCCACACTCACACCACCTCCACCGTACCTTGGGGTGGAACAAGTCGCTCCACTTGATGGTCTTGCCCGTGTCCACCGACCCGTACAGCATCTAAAGGGTACCAGCAATACATACACAGATGCACGCACCCTCACTCCCACCGACCCGTATAGTGATGCACTGAGGTGCCTTCGCACCCCTCCCTTCTTCACCCTTTACCCCCACACACACACAACCACACATCGCCCACACACAACTTCCACGGCACCTTGGGGTGGAACGAGTCGCTCCACTTGATGGTCTTGCCTGTGTCCACCGACCCGTACAGCATCTGAGTCGTGCGGTCGCCGTAGAGAATGCCCGGGATGATGCTCTGCTCAAAGAGGGGGAAGGCACAGCAGGTGAGGGATGCAGAAGGGTAAGGGAAGATACAGGAGGGTAAGATATTTGATGGTCTTGCCTGTGTCCACGGACCCGTACAGCATCTGCGTTGTGCGGTCACCGTAGAGAATGCCTGGGATAATGCTCTGCTCAACAAAGGGTAAGGCAGGTGAGGGGTGCAGGAGGGTACAGAAGGGTACAAGAGGGTCAGGTACTTGATGGTCTTGCCTGATCGCCATAGAGAATGCCCAAAATGATGCTCTACGATAGGGGGAAGGGGGGAAGTGGCGGAGTGGAGACAGGGTTGATGGAACAGGTGAAGGGTGGAAAGTCCGCGATGGCCATGGAAAGCGAGTAGAGCCCAGGAGACTTCTGTCAAATGGCTTACCATACTATACAGCAACAGCAACACGCACCTGAGCGATGACTCGGTGCCCGCGGTAGTCCACAATGGCCATGGCCAGCGAGTAGAGCCCGGGGATGTCGGCGTTGTTCACAGCCATGGTGCCCTTGAGGGGCCTTTCAAGGCACCTCAAAGACCACAACACCGCACCTGAGAAATGGGACCATGTAATTGGGCAATATGACACACCTGAGCGATGACTCGGTGCCCGCGGTAGTCCACGATCGCCATAGCCAGCGAGTATAGCCCGGGGATGTCCGCATTGTTGACAGCCATGGTGCCCTTGAGGTCGTTGTTGGACGATGCATACGTTGCCTGCTCTGCCTCCGTCACTGCCGCTGCTGCTGCTGCTGCTGCTGCATCCTCGCCTTCCTTCTTCTCCCCCTCCTCTCCTTCCTTCTCTCCTTCCTTATTCTCCCCTTCCTTCTTATCTGCCTCCTCTGCCTTTGCCTCCTCCGCCTTTTTCTCCTCTGCCGCCTCCTGCTCTTTCTTCTCCTTCTCCTTCTTATCCTTCTTCTCCTTCTTCTTCTTGTCCCTCTTCTCCTTCTTCTCCTCCTTCGTTTCCACCTTCTTCTCCTCTTCCTTCTCCCCCTCCTTTTTCTCCTCATCCTTACCCCCCTCCTCTCCCCCTTCCTTCTTCTCCCCACCCTCCCCCTCCCCCTTCTTAGCAGCCTCCGCCTCCGCCTGCTGCTTCAGCTCCGCCTCTCTAATCTGCTGCAGCGCCGCAAAATCCCCATCAACAGCCAGGGAAAAGAAGATATTATTATGCACATACATATGGAACCGATCCGCGTCATGCGGGTTGATCGGCGGGATCGACCGGCCAATCACGGCCTTCGCGCCGCGAACCGCCGAATCAGCAAACTCGCAGCTGACTCGATATAAGGCCCGGTCGCGCAGAATCCGGTCTTGTAACGAGTTACGCGGTAACTCGCGGCAGCTCTGCAGCTCCTCGTTCCAGTCCCTCAGAACGCCACTGAAATCGATACCGAAGGGGGCCATTAGAGCGTCTTCGGATCGTGCCACGTCACGCGTATACTGTAGCGGCCCCGTGCCGTCCGCGCCGCCCCAGATGGGCTTTGCCGCCCAGTCGTTGGGCGGCAGCGGTGCCAGCATGTTCTCAAACGGGTGGCGGTTGGCCTTGCGCTCGATCACCTCCGCAAAGGCTGATGAAGGAAGGGTGAAGGGAGGGAGGGGAGAGCAGATGGAGAGTTCTTAGGTGGCTAGCAACGCATTCAGGAGAAGGGTGGCGCCAGCTTCTTCTAGAGACTTGAAGGGGTGGCGGTTGGCCTTGCGCTCGATCACCTCCGCAAAGGCTGATGAAGGAAGGGTGAAGGGAGGGAGGGGAGAGCAGATGGAGAGTTCTTAGGTGGCTAGCAACGCATTCAGGAGAAGGGTGGCGCCAGCTTCTTCTAGAGACTTGAAGGGGTGGCGGTTGGCCTTGCGCTCGATCACCTCCGCAAAGGCTGATGAAGGAAGGGTGAAGGGAGGGAGGGGAGAGCAGATGGAGAGTTCTTAGGTGGCTAGCAACGCATTCAGGAGAAGGGTGGCGCCAGCTTCTTCTAGAGACTTGAAGGGGTGGCGGTTGGCCTTGCCCTTGATCACCTCCGCAAAGGCTGATGAAGGAAGGGTGAAGGGAGGGAGGGGAGAGCAGATGGAGAGTTCTTAGGTGGCTAGCAACGCATTCAGGAGAAGGGTGGCGCCAGCTTCTTCTAGAGACTTGAAGGGGTGGCGGTTGGCCTTGCCCTCGATCACCTCCGCAAAGGCTGACAAGGGGAGGGTCAAGTAGGGGAAGGGGAGGGCAAATGGAGAGATATTGAGGGTTATTGAGAGTTACTGAGGGGCTAAAGGTGGCTTGACCTGTGCATTTGAAAGTAATTGTTTGCATCAACGCATGATTGGATCTTTAGACATAAAAGAAAACTACAGATCGGGCAAGGGTGAAAGGGTGTGTGCAAATGCCAGGATCATGCGAGCAGGTGGGGATGCTGGTAGTGTGGTGATGCGAATACACTAAAAACCATGGACATAGGCGTTTTTTTTTTTTTTTTTTTTTCCAATGTGGCTGGTGTGGGCAAACGTTGAAGCTGCCTCAAAGATAACGTACTTGATTTTTATTTTTATTTTCCCACATTGTTGGTATCATATATGCCATGACCGACAGAGAGGCATACGGGGGCATAACCCCTAAACCCAGGTTGATATCCTCACATTCGCACTGCATTCGCCATATGGTGGGCGCAACCTCTCTCACCTTTCCCGACACAAGTGTGTGCCTTACCTTTGGAGAAGAGCGGGCTGATCTGCCGCAGCAGCCCAATGAGAGTGGACGCGTCCATCTTGGGCTCGGCGGGGCGCGGGTCCAGTTTGCTGCAACCAACCCAGTCCTCACAGACTCCCTCTCTCACTCTCAATCCGCCTCATTCTTTTAAAAGTATCAGGCTCTTGCTCTCACCTTTGGAGAAGAGAGGGCTGATCTGCCGCAGCAGCCCAATGAGAGTGGACGCGTCCATCTTGGGTTCAGCAGGGCGCGGGTCCAGCTTGCTGCAACTACTCCTTACAGGCCCTCTCTCTCTCTCACTTCAGATTCGCCTCACCTTTGGAGAAGAGCGGGCTGATCTGGCGCAGCAGCCCGATGAGAGTGGACGCGTCCATCTTGGGCTCAGCAGGGCGCGGGTCCAGCTTGCGGCCGCTGCCACTGCGGTTGACAAAGAAGCCCCTCGTGTGCGCCGTCACGCAGAAGAGCTTTCCCTCCGCTGTCACCACCTCCAGATACACCAGATCGCCTTGCAGCCTGCAGAAGGAGCTCAAAGGGATGGAATGCGGTGGTAAGGGATGGAGAGGGGTCTGAGACGTGTGTCACTGGGACTGCCACTGCGGTTGACAAAGAAGCCCCTCGTGTGCGCCGTCACACAGAAGAGCTTTCCTTCCACTGTCACCACCTCCAGATATACGAGATCGCCTTGGAGCCTGCAGGGGGATGGGAAACGGTTGAAAGTGGTGGAAAGGGATATGAGACGTGTGCCACTGGGACTGCCACTGCGGTTGACAAAGAAGCCCCTCGTGTGCGCCGTCACACAGAAGAGCTTTCCCTCCGCTGTCACCACCTCCAGATACACCAGATCGCCTTGCAGCCTGCAGAAGGAGCACAGAAGGATGGGAAACGGTTGGAAGGGGTGAGGGATATGAGACGTGTGCCACTGGGACTGCCACTGCGGTTGACAAGACAAAGAAGCCCCTTGTGTGCGCCGTCACGCAAGAGCTTTCCCTCCGCTGTCACCACCTCCAGGTAGACCAGGTCGCCTTGCCCCCAAGAGCTTTCCCTCCGCTGTCACCACCTCCAGGTAGACCAGGTCGCCTTGCAGCCTGAAAGATGGGAAACGGTTGAGACCGGTGGAGAGGGGAAAGAGATGTGTGGATTGAGAAGAGCCCCTTGTGTGCGCCGTCACGCAAGAGCTTTCCCTCCGCTGTCACCACCTCCAGGTAGACCAGGTCGCCTTGCAGCCTGAAAGATGGGAAACGGTTGAGACCGGTGGAGAGGGGAAAGAGATGTGTGGATTGAGAAGAGCCCCTTGTGTGCGCCGTCACGCAAGAGCTTTCCTCCGCTGTCACCACCTCCAGGTAGACCAGGTCGCCTTGGAGCCTGACAGGGGTGGGGAGGGATGAGAACCGGTTGAAATGCAAATGAAACTTAACGTAAGTCAGAAAGTGCGTTCTTCTGTTCCAGTCCACCACGGTTGAGCGAGGAAGATGAAAGGTGAAATGATTTCTCGGGGCGTTGTGAGGAGGAATAATCTCACCTCCTGGGCCCCGGAACAGGGTTGAAGGAGGAGAAGGCGATGCTCTCAACGCACACGGGCGCGGCGTCCTCGTCAGCGCCGCCCTTCACCATCACCTTGGCGAGCACGCCCTTGGGATCATCGCCCAGCCCCACGCCCTGCTCCAGCCACGCCATCTCCTCTCCATCCATCCGTCCTCGCCCCTCACATCAAGCTCTCTTACCTACCTCCTGGCAAGGAGGCAACGGAAATCAGGAGGAGGAAAGAGTAATCTCACCTCCTGGGGCCCGGAACAGGGTTGAAAGAAGAGAAGGCGATGCTCTCCACACACACGGGCGCGGCCTCCTCGTCAGCGCCGCCCTTCACCATGACTTTCGCGAGCACGCCCTTGGGATCATCGCCCAGCCCCACGCCCTGCTCCAGCGACGCGATCTCCTCCATGCGCGCCTTGCTGCTCGGAAGCTTCGCCTTGCGCTCCCGCTCCTTCTCCTTCTCCCGCCGCTCCTTCTCCTTCGCCTCCTCCTCCTTGCTCCGCCGCCCCTTCCCCTTCTTCCCCTTCCCGCTCTTCTTCCACTCCCCGCCCTCCTCGTCTTTCTCCCCGTCTTTCTCCCCCTTCTCCCCCTCGCCGTCCTTCCCCTCCCCCTCCTCCTTCTCATCCCCCCCAAGCTCGCGTTCAGTAGCCAGCCCCTTAACTAGCTCATATTCCGCCGCCATGGCCGTAGACGCGCTAGAGTACGAACCCGCCATCGATATAAGCTCCCTCGTTTTACGCACGTGCAGCCGCACGGCGCGGTCGTCGTAGAACGTGTTGAACATCTCCAGCAGGCACCCGCCGGCCGCCACGTCAGCAACCTCACCAATCTCCACGTAATCCATGAGGTGGTAACGCAGCCCGTCCGGCTTGGTGAGGATAAGGTCGTACGCGGTATAGAAGCACGTCTCGGGCGCGTCGGCCAGAAACTGCTTCAAGTCCATTACTGTGTCAGCTGGGTTCACCTGATTGGTGGAAACGGGGGGAGGAGGAGCGGGCGAAAGAGGGAACGCGGTATAGAAGCAAGTCTCAGGTGCGTCGGCCAGTGTTTCAAGTCCATTACTGTGTCTGCGGGGTTGACCTGAAACGGAAGGGCGAGTGGGAGTCGAGGGAGAGGGGAGGAAAGAGACGGGGAAGAGTCCGGCTTGGTGAGGATAAGGTCGTACGCGGTATAGAATCACGTCTCGGGGGCGTCCGCCAGGACTGCTTCAAATCCATCACTGTATCGGCAAGGTTCACCTGAAAGGGCGAGTGGGAGCGGGGGTGGGAGGGAGGGGGAGGAGGGAGGGGCGAAGGGGGGGGGAGGAGCGGGGGGGGAGGGGAGGGGGGGGGGGGGGGGGGGGTTGGGAGGGGGAGGAGAAAGAGAAGAGGAGTCCGGGTTGGCGAGGACAAGGTCGTAAGCGGTATAGAAGCACGTCTCGGGAGCGTCGGCCAGAGACTGCTTCAAGTCCATCACTGTGTCCGCTAGGTTCGCCTGAAAAGGCGAGTGGGAAGGGACGGAACGGGGGGAAGGGACGGGATGGGGGAAGAGAGGTAGGAAAGGAGGAAGGAAGGACGAAAAGGGTCCAGTGTGGGGAGTGAGGAAGCGGTAGGAAAGGAGGAAGAATGGATGAAATCCGTCAATCAGCTGGACGAAATCCGACAAACAAGCGTCGCAGCCTCCTCCACTGATAATTCAACGCGTGACATAGAATAACCTTACGTCATGCCATACGTCACCGCATACGTCAAGCATCTCCAGTGTTTCCTAGGTCCAGACGGAGGGACGGCTGACTGAGCCTACATTTGCTGGACTGTACTTCAGCTAGTTCAAGCGCAACCCAGTCTGAGGTCATTACCAGTCAACTCTACCATACGTATCGTACTGTTTCTCAAGTCTACACGACCAAACCCTCATAAAAGAAATTAATGGCTGCGATTGTGGTTCTCTTTAATGCTTTAAGAGACTATAACACTTTACCGCAGTCAACTGGACCCATCACCGCGAGTAAAATTAATATCTTCTTCGGCGGGGCATTACCGTTTCTTTCCAAAGCTCTTTACCTCACGTGCCAGAAATGCGTACCTGCAGCGCTCTCAACCTACCTGCAGCGCTCTCAACCTACCTGCAGTTCGATCTCCTTTCCAGCAGGTCCCTTCACTGCCAGAGGGTACAGCTGAGGATCATCGAGGTGAGTTTTGAGTCGAGTCATAAGTATGCAACCGTCTCGACATACCTGCAATTCGATCTCCTCCCCAGCGGGTCCCTTCACCGCAAGAGGGTACAGCTGAAGCTCGTCCGCGTCCTTCTTAGCAACCCCATCACCCTCCCCCTCTGCCTCCCCCTCCCCCTCTTTCTTCTCCGTTCCCTCCCCCTCCTGTTTCTTTTCCTCCCCCTCCGTAGCGGCAGCATCTACTGCGGGAGCCGCGTCGGCCGGGGCGGCATCGGCTGGCTTCTGCTCTTCCGCGGCTGCGGAAGCAGCTGGCGGCGTAGTTTCCGCGTCGTTTCCCATGACGTCGTACCCGTTGACACGTGTCAACTTGCTGACGCTGAGAACGACGGTCCTACGATCAGTGTGTTCACTGATTGGTCCTGGAATTGGTAATGCCGGTTGATCAACGAAGAATGGGGGGAGAAGAGAAGACAGTAGGAGTTTAAAATTAGAAGGCACGAGAGAAAATTGGAAATTAGTCGGTGCACTGCAAAACACTACATAGCGCTTGATATATACACAATATATGAGTATTATATTACTACAAAGCCGCCGTGCTTCTGTTATTTTTTTCCTACACGCATCTTAAGAAAACTCACGTTACCGAGACGAGCGGGGAGCGCGGCAAATCTCGGATCAGACAAACCGAATTAACTGCCGAAGCCTAGCCGTGAGGAAATCTCAGATGGCCGAGATGGCCTAGATAGAAAAAGAAGGATTCTAGAGAAGAAAAACAAATAGTAGTAATGCCTGAAAGGATGAATGGCTAAGGATTGGGGGAACGGCGGGGGGAGATGGGGGGAGGGATTTGGGAAGATGAGTAGAATTCACGGGAAAAGGGGGAACGTATGGAGCGGAAAATGTAGGGGTGGGGGAATGGCTGGCGGAAACACGACAGACACGGGGAACAGGAATGAATGGAGCTGGGACAAAAGATTTGGGCACAGGACATGTGGGGGGGACAGTGGCGGATGAGGTGGGACACGTGGCGGGTTTGGGGTTCTTTGGATGACCAATCTGTGGGTGCAGCGTGGCACTACAAGCGGGCGGAAGCTCTCAGAGTTCCACGTCAGTCATTCGCGAACCCAAGTCTGGCAAAAATACAGAAATGAGGATTCATTACAGGTTACAGAATCCACATGGCAACTTCATCTGCCTACACTTGTATAATGATATCATTCTTCAAACATCAATGAGTGCAGCTGCCAACACTTGTATAACACGGTCTTGCCCAATTTTGCTGAATTATATAATCAGATATTAAAAAGTTTTCTTACCTTTACATTCTCATGTCATTCAGGTTTATGATAGATAGTTGACGTAAATCTGCAACCCTTACCAAACCAGGAGTACTGTACATATAGTCTTCATATATATCTCAAGGTACTGTACAGTACCATACAGTCTTGCAAACATCAAACTCTCTCCGCCCCTCACAAGCTCCGCCTCTCCCCTCGGTGGTGGTGTCCCATTTTGGGGGGAAACTTCTGCAAGGCCGTGTTTTTGCATAGACTTCATGCAGTTGAATGCGTACCAATTTGTTCCCATGACGTTCCCAGTTCGCAAAACTGCTGATGGTATGCGAAGCAGCTGCTGTTGGAGAGGAGAGTTTTGAGATCGAGCATGACGAGAATTTACTTCAATCACGCCTCCGTAAAGCTCCGACCAGATCCCCCCTTCACCCCGCCAAACACTGCTCGCCCCGCGCCACCTTTCCTCCCAATCATCCCCCCGCACCCCCTCCCTCCCCCACAACATCCCCCCCCCCCCCCACCCCCAGCTGTCTAAACCCCCATCAGATCTCTCGCCTTTTTCCTGCCTGTAGCCCTTTTTGCCTCGTACATTCAACAATAAATCTCCTCTGGTTTCAACTATTTCTATCCGCCTTATTTCTTCTCTTCCTCGCCCCTTATATGTATTTGCTCGTTGTTCCTGCCCTCTCGCTGACTGGAGGTCGTGGCGGGCAGCGTGTAGGCTCCTGTGGCCTCTCTAAAACGTGCGGGGATGAGATGGCTTCGAAGACATACCTTCTAACAGGAAGCATGGGTGAAGCCGCATGGATGCAACCGTGGGTGAAGCCGCCTTGACTGGATGAAGTCTTGACATAAACTGCTGCAGAGTTGGTTCGGCCGTTGTCAGCAGCCCGCCGTACCAGTGTCCCATATGGAACGTGGCCCGGCTTCTTGATAACATGTGAGTTTCTGATTCGCAAGGTCATTGTTGGGTTTCTGTCGTCCGCGCATTTCGATTATGCCCTTTCCCACAGTTCTTCGTCAATGGCTGGCATATGATGTGACGTGAATAATCACTTATGCTACACTCTGATTGGATCGATGATCCGTGTAGAAATAACCATACACCTCTGACAATCTGATGCCAGATCTTCGCCGTCGTCCTCATGTTCGTCTATGTCATGATCCATGCTGTATTTTCGTGATGTTTTCGTACGTTGCTTTTTTTTCGACATCTTGGTGAGCACAGTCACTCTACTCCCCCCTGGGCTGAGCTGATATCTGATGAAGTTTCGGTCCCATGATTGTGCGAGAGCTACTCGGTGCTTCGTGTTGCGGAGTAACAACTTATCCTGTGTGTGACTCTGTGTCAAAATAGCCCGTACATTGCATTCCGATTACGGCTTGGATCGTATGCTGCGGTGCAGCTGCTGCTCGGACGCCTAATCTGTGTCTCATTCTTGATTTGTGCATCTCAGGTGGAGGAAGAGAAGTTCGAAATGTGATGTGACGACGTTGACATTGACACGAGCGGATCTGTGATGTCATTTCCCGTGGAGGAAACACAGATCTGGTGTCAGAAGAAAAGAGACCGGTGGCGAACCTCGTATACTTGTGCTGCGTCATTGCTTGGGCATATTTCACTCCGTGCAAGTCAACGTGATTGTGTGTAATGAGCAGCCTTACTCTTGTAACCAATAGGTTTCTCAACAAACTGTTGAAAGCCTGACATTAAATTCTGACCTAAGGAACAAGTATTCAGCCTAAGGAGAAGACTGGTTACCATCAAGAAGTTGTGATCTAAAATTCATATGAACGGGTCACCAGGATGATTGAGTTTGTGGTGAATTTAGGGTACATTACTACGTCTTCGAAATTCGCGTCACAATCCTTCAAACCGCTCTGTACCGAACTGCACCTAAGTCCGATTTTTTTAATAATGTTTACAAAGTGGTACAATCTTGGATTGTGACGCGAATGTCTAAGACACGTCTTGGCAGGAATGGCGAATGTTCCACATCGTTCTTGCTAACGCCACCCTTCGTCTATACACGGAGCAAAGCCATCCCCGCGAATGCAAGGTTATTGCTGCTCCCGCTGCTGGAGCTATCTGCACCTGGGTTGAAGGCTGCTTTATCTCTCTTCTAAAAAAACCCAGTATCTGAGAGCTACTGTCAGATGCAACCAGCGTAAGGAATTGCACTGTTTTCTTGACAGTTCTCCAGCTAATCAGTGCTAACACCTTGTGTTTTAATGCCCAGGCGAGACACGGACAATAAGTACAACTCGAAAATCTCTGTACACATGATACGCAGAAATTCACCGAAAACTCAACTAACAGCTTTGCTACTAGCTGGGAGAATAGGAGCATCTTGTTGCCAAATAACATCTCGAACTATCTAAACACGCGAGCATTGTACTCAACAGAATATGGCAACGGAAACGCCTTAGCACTTGGAGCAGGTGCAGCTGCTACCGCACTTGCACTCGCCGCCGCTAGCGCAGCCGCAGCCACCGGCAGCAGCGGTCTTGCATCCGCAAGGGGCGTTCTCAGCAGTGCACGTGCAGCCCTCTCCGCAGCTACAGGTAGCGCCCGCGGCGGGAGCAGCAGCGGACTTGCATCCGCACGGCGAGTTCTCCGCAGTGCATGTGCAACCCTCCCCGCAGCTGCAGGTAGCGCCAGCGGCGGGAGCAGCAGCGGACTTACATCCGCACGGAGAGTTCTCCGCAGTGCACGTGCAGCCTTCGCCGCAGCTGCAGGTGGCGGTCGCAGCGGTCTTGCAGCCGCAAGGGGAGTTCTCAGCGGTGCAGGTGCAAGCCTCGCCGCAGGTGCAGGTGGTGGGGGCCATTGTGCTTGTCGAACACCGAATGAAGAAGGCCGAACACTAAGTTGTCGCTTGATGAGCGTATTTCAAAGCGTGAACTTGCAAGAGAGCTTGGAATAGTTGATCGAGCAGCAGAAATTGGAATGTCTGGATTGGAAAAGCGAGTGGTATTTGTAGGCCCGCTTCGCGACAGACGTGACGTGAAAGTGTTCGTTTTTTGCGGCGCGCTGGAGCTGAGGCAGGCGTGCGGTTGCACTGTTGGCGCGTGTCACAGAATCAACGCAGCGCGCTTCTAGAATGTTCGAAAGAGGTTATTCCGGTTTCGAATTACCTTCGTGGAATTTACCAGGAAGCTGGAACATTTTCCACTTCTGATTTATTATCTAAGCTGTAAGTGTCTATGCCTGATATCGAGCTGGTTCAAATCGAAGAAGCTTTTAAGCTGATCAAATGAAAGCGTTTGCGAGGGCCATTTGGTGTCGGCACATCGCCATGACACGTCGCAAGTCGCCACGTCGCCTATGTCGCCACGTCGCGCACCAGGTACCACATAGCGATTGCGTCCGACATCAAAGGAATGCGTGGTTACCAGCCTTCGTTTTCCCGCCAAATTCTCGTCTTTACTCAGAAACTGACATCCATGTTTTCCTCCTAGAGATTGACACGCCGCTCGTGTACAGCCACAACTTCAGCTGCATTGGCCTTACCGCCTCGCTTCGTTGTAAAAGCTGTTGATCAAGGAAAGAAAGGAATACATATTTATTTCCTACCCAGTTCTCGTACCGCCCGAGTTACGTTCCTCGAGCTTCATACTTCCGTTGTGATATATTGCCTCGTCAACCGCTGTGTTACCGCTGTGATCAAGGGCTTCCAGCGTTCGAAATCAGCTGATATAGATAGTATGGAAACCATAGCTTCAGGCGATGCGGGGAGTCCGGATGTCCCGGCCGTGGAAGTCACGGCTATGCAGTTCGCTTATCCCGGCGAGCCTCCGTTAATTTCCAAGTTTAACCTGACACTACCACGTGGCAGCCGTTGCCTTCTGATTGGAGCCAACGGTGCAGGCAAGACGACTCTCCTGAGAGTGTTGGCGGGAAAGCACATGGTTGGTGGAAAGGACGTCGTTAAAGTTCTCGGTCGCTCGGCATTCCACGATACAGCTCTCTCCTGCGACGGCTCTCTTGCCTACCTCGGTGGTTCCTGGAGCAAGTCCGTCGGCTGTGCGGTGAGTGTGCCTTGAAACGCATTTGCTTGCATGGCGACTGATCAATGCTCGTTGAAGGCACATCGTTCCCCTGCGACGGCTCTCTTGCCTACCTTAATGGTTCCAGGAGCATATCCATAACCTGTGTGGTGAGTTTGCTGTGTAACGCAATCGCACACACGGCGTTTGAACAAATCCCCAAACATAGGCGCGTTGCTTTCGTCGTCAGTTGCTTTTCCAATGTCCCTCTCATCCGTCGTCCGTCGCTCTCCATCCTCTCACTGTCATCACCTGCTCTGAGCGCCGCATAAGTAGTCTCGGTTCATCGCTTTCCTAATCCCCCCCACCGTCATCACCTTACACGACGAAATTCCTTTCAAGGCGATGTGCATGCAACCTGCAAGGGCCACTCTGTAGAGCTGCAATGTTTCCTTCCTTACGATACGAAGTCCTATTGTTCTTTTCTCCCAGCGCGAAGTTCATTTTCAGTGCAACTTCAGCGCGGAGGACATGATTTACGGCCAAGGGCCACCTTGCTGAGTTGTTGAGTTCTTCCTCCCTCGCTCATTCCCTGATTCTAACATTTTACACCCTGATTCTCTTTCCTCCCTCGCCACAGGGCGAAGTTCCTCTGCAAGGTGATTTCAATGTGGAGCACATGATCTACGGCGTGGCTGGCGTGGACGCAACCTTCAAGGCCACCTTCGCCTCTCTGTTTCCATCCCATCCCCTGTTCTTGTCATGCCTCGCTTATGACAGGGCGAAGTTCCTCTCCAGGGAGACTTCAGTGCGGAGCACATGATCTACGGCGTTGCTGATGTGGACGCCACGCGCAGGGACCACCTGGTGGAGCTGCTGGATATTGATCTGACGTGGCGCATGCACCGCGTGTCAGATGGGCAGAGGAGGCGAGTGCAGATATGCATGGGGCTGCTGCGACCCTTCCAGGTGAGCCATGATTCAGCCAGATTGCGAGGTGAATCAGCTGTTAAATGTACGACCTTCTATGGCATTCGTGCCGTGCCGTGCCGTGGGCCGGATGGGCAGAGGAGGCGAGTGCAGATATGCATGGGGCTTCTGGAGTCTTCCAGGTGAGCTGTTGCCGATGATTCTGGTTCCACCCAGCATTGCCGGGTGGAGCTGTTAGATTCTGACCTCCTACGGCGTATGATTAAGGGCAGAGTGGGCAGGGTGGCTAGAGGAGTTAACAGCAGATATGCATGGGACTGCTGGTTGGGGTGTCGCTAGACCTCGATGTCACCAAGCTGGACCTTCGTATCTCTTCTGACCCTTGCCATGCCACAGGTGCTACTGCTGGACGAGGTCATGGTAGACCTAGATGTTGACGCCAGCTTATGCCTCTCCTGTCATTCAGTTCTCCCCCACCCCATGCCACAGGTGCTGCTGCTGGACGAGGTCACAGTGGACTAGTTGTCACTCGGATGGATATTCTCTTTCATACTACAGGTTGTATTTTTTTCCCACTTCTTCTCCCACTTCTTCCCCTTCTCATGCCACAGGTGCTGCTGCTGGATGAGGTCACAGTGGACCTAGATGTTGTCGCCAGGATGGACCTCCTCTCCTTCTTCCAACAAGAATGTGAAGAGGTAATCCGTGAGGCATTAGCAACGAATCTGGGAGGATAGAACAGCTGATTAATGCACTGTGTTGTCTGCTGCTCAATGCTGGACTGGGTGTTGCTGGCAATTCAAGGTTTTGCACAGGCAATCTGATTTCCTGCTGATTTCCTAGTTAGCTGACCTGTTCCTGTTTACTTGCTTCTCCCCCTTTGCCTTCCTCTTCCCTTTGCAGAGAGGAGCTACAGTTGTGTATGCCACGCATATATTTGACGGCCTGGAGTCTTGGGCAAGCCACCTCGCTTTTGTCTCTTCTGGCAAGTTGCAGCGGCTGGAATCAGTGGATCAGTCCATACAACAATCTGCTGGTAGCCACAAGCCAACTACATTGCAACTACCATCATTGCTGGAAACGGTGGAGCCTTGGCTGAGGGAGGATAAGTCTAAGAGGGAGAAAGAGGTGGAAGAGGCAAAGAAGAGGGGAGATGTGCCTAAAAGAGTGGACCCATTTGCTGGTGCTGGTAGGCACATGGCTTATTATAGGTAGTTGTGCGCTGTAACACTGATACAACCGAAAGCTGATGAAATTTGTGTTTCATTTATTACTACCAGTACGCACATTACTACTCCTTTTGTATCGTTTCAAACGAAAAAATACACAACACCCTACCCACCAAAACAAAATAATTCAAAAGAAAACAAAAGCTGATAACTTTACTTCAATAAACAAATCAATTCAAACAAAATTACACGACATCGTACCCACCAGAGCAATACAATACAAAACTTAATTAAAACTGATAACTCTACTAAATTGTTAGGCGTGACTATATGCAGCAAATGCGCAGTCTGTAGAGAGTACACTGTGTCAAACTGCATGTTTGTGTTATCTCTAGGCTATAGTGGGTTAGCCTACAAGAAGTACAACACTTTAGGGTTAGGTACTTGTACTCATGCATGCTACCTAGTCCACCATTCCTGCATGCTTATTCTAACATGGTATTAGAGCAGAATCGTTCCTAGGGCCCACCGAACGTTCCGCCCCTGCAGCCACGCAGCTCTTGCAGCTCGCGTGCTGCCCCTGCGACCGCGCTGTCCCTGCAGCCGTGCTCGCCCCTGCGACCGTGCTGCCCCTGCAGCCGTGCTCGTCCCTGCGACCGTGCTGCCCTTGCAGCCGTACTCGCCCCTGCGACCGTGCTGCCCCTGCAGCTGTGCCTGCCCCTGTGGCCCGCGTACTGCCCCTGCAGCCCGCGAGTTCGCCCCTGCAGCCCGTGGGCGCTGCCTCTGCAGCCCGTGGGCGCTGCCTCTGCAGCCCGCGCGCCGCCTTGCCGATCCGCGCGTCGCCCCTGCAGCCCGTGGGCACTGCCCCTGCAGCCCGTACGCCGCCCTGCAGAGCCGCGCGTCGCCCCTGCAGCCCGTACGCCGCCCTGCAGAGCCGCGCGTCGCCCCTGTAGCCCGTGGGCGCTGCCCCTGCAGCCCGTGCGCCGCCCTGCCAAGCCGCGCGTTGCCCCTGCAGCCCGTGGGCGCTGCCCCTGCAGCCCGTACGCCGCCCTGCAGAGCAGCGCGTCGCCCCTGCAGCCCGTACGCCGCTCTGCAGAGCCGCACGTCGCCCCTGCAGCCCGTGGGCGCTGCCCCTGCAGCCCGCGCGCCGCCCTGCCGAGCCGAGCGTCGCCCTTGCAGCCTCGGCGCCGCCCTGCCGAGCGGCGCGCCGCCCCTACAGCCCGCGCGCCGCCCTGCCGAGCTGCGCGTCGCCCCTGCAGCCCGTGGGCGTCGCCCCTGCAGCCCGCGCGCCGCCCTGCCGAGCCGCGCGTCGCCCCTGCAGCCCCGGCCGCGCGCAATCCTAAACCCTAAATAATAATAATAATTAAAAAAAAAAAAAAAAAAACTATTGCTGCTGCTGCTACTCGTGCTACTGCTGCTGCTGGTGGAGGTGCTGCTGGGAGTGCTGGAGGTGCGGCCGCCCAGCCCCACTGAGCCGCCCTGCTGCTGCTACTACTTCTGCTGCTGCTACTCGTGCTACTGGTGCTGCTGGTGGAGGTGCTGCTGGGAGTGCTGGAGGTGCTGCTGGTGCTGGAGGAGCTGGAGGTGCTGGACCTACTCCTGACCGTCGCTGTCTGTCATGGCCACTATCGCGGCATTTGCTGCGGCCAGGGGTGGACAACAGCGAACACTGCCTCTCCCGGACGACCCCACCCCTCAGCAGCTTCGTGAGTGGGTTGTTCAGCGATGCCGTCCTGGTGGTGGAGGTTATCGTTATGTTTGGGCTGCTGCTCTTGGTGCTAGTGAGTCTGCTGCCGCTCCAGGTGCTAGTGAGTCTGCCGACGCTCTAGGTGCTAGCGCGTCTACTGCCACAGGTCCTGCCTCAGCTGAGGTCTTGCACACTTTCACGCTTGACTCAAGCGCGTCACGTTGCTTCTTTCGTGATTGCACCACAGTCACACCACTCACAGCACCTGTCCCAGTCTCACTGGCTGACCCCTCTGGGGGCCCAGTAGTTGCGAGAGCCTCCACGGTCCTCCCTTGTCCAGCGGTCCCCTCCGGTTCTCTGTCAGGTCTCCACCTCCCCACGATCTCGACGAACTTGGTGAGCAACGCTGCCATTCAGGATGTCTGGGTTGATACCTTTATTCCTGGAGGGCAGGGTGTGGCGATCTGTACGTGCTCCCGGACTGGCCGTCACCTGGCTACGTTCACTCGACAGCCTGGGTCTAGTCTGTACACACTGACCACTGCGTCTGCACAGGTGGCTGAGTCAGGTCAGGTGGCTGCGTCGAGTCATGCATCTGCGTCGGGGCAGTTAGCTGCTTCTTGCTCGTGCAGAGTACTCACGCACGAGACTCAGCGCTGGCACCACCGTCTTGGTCACCCCTCCCTGCCGCGTCTACGCGGCATGCACTCCAGTCTCCTTGTCTCTAGCCTCCCCAGGACCCTGCCCCCCCTGCCGCGCTCGCTTGCCCCGCCGTGCCTTCCTTGCGTCGAGGGGCGGCAGCGCGCCGCTCCTCACTCCTCCGAGTTTCCTCCGACCACTGCTCCTCTGCAGACTCTCCACCTGGACGTGTGGGGCCCGGCCCCCGTCGGTGGGACGGACCAGGAGCGCTACTTCCTGCTGGTTATTGACGACTACACACGCTACACCACAGTCTTCCCCTTGCGTCGCAAGGCGGACGTCAGCGGTGTTTTGATCCCCTAGATCCGTGCTACTCGTCTCCAGCTACACGAGCGCTTTTTGTAGGACTTCCCAGTCCTGCGTCTGCACTCTGACAGGGGTGGTGAGTTCTTTTCTGGCGTCCTTGAGACGTTCTGCCAGGATGAGGGCATCGCCCAGTCGTTCACGCTTCCGGCCTCTCCGCAGCAAAATGGGATCGTTGAGCGTCGCATTGGCCTGATCATGGAGTTTGCTCGTACCCCATGATCCATGCGGCTGCTCCCCATTTCCTGTGGCCGTTTGCGGTCCGATACGACGCGCATCAGCTCAACCTCTGGCCCCGTGTCTCTGCTCCAGAGACCTCGCCCACACTCCGTTGGACGGGACAGCCTGGTGATCCGTCGTCGTTTCGGGTCTGGGGCGCGCTCTCCCTTGTTCGCGATACCAAAGCGAGCAAGCTCTCTCCTCGCACTCTCCGCTGTGTCTTCCTGGGCTTCCCCACCGACGCTCCACCCTGGCAGTTCTACCACCCTGCCTCGCGTCGTGTTCTGTCCTCTCAGGACGTCACCTTCGACGAGTCGGTCTGTTACTACCGACTTCACCCGCACGCGTCCCACCCGGTCCCCCTTGCACCCCTCTTCCTGGTACCAGTCCCCCCCCCGGTAGACCCCCTTCCCCCACAGGGTCCTGCTCCCTCAGGTGTGTCTCAGGTAGACCCACCCCCCTTGGATGAGCCAGTGGAGATCTCTTCTGACTCCTCTGACCCAGCTGAGGGGGGTGACACCGCCGCCGACGACATGACGACCACTCGCCGCACTCCTCGCTTGGAGACCCCCCCAGGTTTCCCGCCTCACCCGTCTTCGCCACCTCTGCAGCCTGCTGCTGTGGACTCTGGAGCTGGGGCTGCTGGAGCTGGGCCTGGGGGTGGTACGTCTGGGGGTGTCCGCTCTCCTCGTTTGGCTACCCCCCCCCGGTTTCCCGCCTCTGCAACCTTTTGCAGTGGACACTGGAGCTGAAACTGAGGGTGCAGGGACTGAGGGTGCTGGGACTGAGGGTGCTAAGACTGAGGGTGCTGAGACTGAGGGTGCTGGGACTGAAGGTGCTGGGAATGAGGGTGCTGAGACTGAGGGTGCTGGGACTGAAGGTGCTGAGCCTGAGGGTGCTGACTCTGGGGGTGCTGAGACTTCGGGTGCTGACTCTGGGGGTGCTGCGAGTCCTTCTGGTGGTCATGGAGCTGGAGGTACTGGAGCTACTAGGCCTGGAGGCACTACTGGAGGTACTAGAGGTACTACTGGTGCTGGAGGTACTAGAACTGCTGCTGGTGCTGGAGGTGCTGGAGCTGGAGGAACTAGAGGTGCTTCTGGTACTGGAGGTGCTCGAGCTACCACTACTAGAGGTACTGGAGCTGGACAGCCACCGCAGCCTGCTCTACTTGAGACGCTCTCGCCGCAGGCGATTCATGCATGGGTCGTTCGGCGAGGCAGTTCTGGTGGTGGAGGGTACGGTCCTGCTGGTGCTGGAGCTACTAGTCCAGGAGGTGCTGGAGGTGCTGGAGGTACTACTGGAGGTACTAGAGGTGCTGCTGGTGCTGGAGGTACTGGAGCTGCTAGGCCTGGAGGTACTGTTGGAGGTACTAGAGGTGCTACTGGTGCTGGAGGTACTGGAGCTGCTAGGCCTGGAGGTGCTGGAGGTGCTGCTGGTGCTGGGGGTACTGGAGCTGCTGGTGGTGCTGGAGGTATTGGAGCTGCTAGTACTGGAGGTGCTGCCAGTGCTGGAGGTACTGGAGCTGGAGGTACTGGAGCTGCTGGTGCTGGAGGTACTACTGTTACTGGAGGTGTTGGGGGTGCTGGAGCTGCTGGCACTGGAGGTGCTGGTGCTACTGGTGCTGGAGCTGCGGGAGCTGCTGACCCTGGAGGTGCTGGTG